TCTAAGTGGATAAAATGTATTCAAAAATGCAATCATGTCTTCACAGCTATAAAAGATGGTGTGAATATAAAAGGGTATACTTCCTGGTCTCTGTTGGATAAATTTGAATGGGAGAAAGGCTATGCAGATAGATATGGATTCTACTATGTTGAATTCAATGTGAGAAACAAGCCTCGCTATCCCAAGGCTTCGGTTCAGTATTACAAGGAGATCGTCACAGCCAACGGGTTTCCAAACTCACGAGAGGTACGGCTAACTTACCCACATCTGTTCTGTTCTTAGAAGAACTAACAGTTGAGATGCACCACACCTCTCCTGTCTTCTACGGAACAGGATGGGGAACACAGCCTCCTCTGGCGCTCGTCACCTCTGCTTAGGATGGAGTAAGCACACCTCAAAATTTAGTCCCTTCCAGATAGAGTATCAGGGTGACAAGAGTCCTGTCTGTCACATAAAGATTCCAATTGTTTTCTGTGTTGTTGGAACCAGGGATTGGCCAGAGCTTTACCTATGACAGGCTCCAGCTCTAGACGTTGCTTCCCCCTACCTACCCTTCAGGTTCTTATTTGCATCTAGATTGGAATTCTGATGAATTAAAAATGTTACACTGGGGCTGGAGAGATGGCTCAGTGGTTAAGAGCATTGCCTACTCTTCCAGAGGTCCTGAGTTCAATTCCCAGCAACCACATGGTGGCTCACAACCATCTGTAATGAGGTCTAGTCCCTCTTCTGGCCTGCAGGCATACACATAGACAGAACATTGTATATATAATAAATAAATAAATAAATTAAAAAAAAAAGTTACACTGATGCAAACAAATACTACCTACTCTTCAATATGTGAAAAGTTCTATAAATCAAATGTAGGACTATATCTTTTCCCACCAAATGACAGAGCCATATACATGCACTGCCTCCAAGCCAAGATTAAACAGAAACAAATTTTAAGATTTTAAAACCTATCAAATAGGAGTCTTAGTGTTCTTGTTCAATTGTTGGCACAATTGCCTGCAACTCCTAGCTCCAGGCAATCCAACATCCTCTTCTGGCCTCTGTTTGTGGAGGCCACTTGTTCATTCCCAGCTGCCCAGACCCGAAATAATCACACAGAAACTATATTAATTGCAATACTGTTTGGCCAATAGCTTAAGTGTATTTCTAGCTAACTCTTACATCTTAAATTAACCCATTCCTATTATTTTGTATTTCACCACGAGGCTCATGGTTCACCAGTAAGGTTCCGGTGTCTCCTTGACTTCACCTACTTTTCTCCTCCATCTCTGCTTGGAATTTCCACCTGGCTTTACTCTGTTAAGCCATTGGCCAAAATCAGCTTCTTTATTGATCAGTGGCGATGAAACATATTCATAGCATACAGATGGGAATTTCACATCAGGCCTCCATGGGCATACACAGGCATATTTAAAAAATTAAAATTTTAAAGAAACAAACTACCAAATAGTTCTGATAACCTACAAATTTCCCATCAGCTCTACCTTGTCTGTAGCTACATCTACAAGCATGGACTATAAATTATGATTTAGAAGGTTTTAATAAAAAAAAATTAAAAATAAATCTGACTTCCTTGCTAGTATTGCTTCTAAGTAAACCCAGTGGGTCTAGAAGTGAAGTCAGTGACTACTGCCCTTAGTTCTTCACTCTGTCAATCCTAGAGTCAATACACCTGAAGGTGGGGGTGTCTCTCAAGGTCAGCTTTAGCTACATAGCCAGTTTGTGGCCAGTATACATTGAGATCATCTCAAAAAAATAAATAAAATCCAAACTGTGGGTATTTTTATAAATGTGCTTGTTTCGGTAAGACTGATTATTATTCTTTTTTTTAAAATGCTGCAAGATCCCCGGGGGCAGTAGGCAGCAGAAATGCTGTAGGTCCCAAATGGTGGTAGTGGGCCATGTGGTGGCAGGCAGCAGGCTCTGGGAGCAGCCAGTCCCAGGCAGAGACTGCTACCGGTCCCGGAGCAGTGGCTGGTCCCAGGCAGGAACACACATGGCAGGCGGGCAGGAGACAGAGACATGGATAGACACGACATGCAGGGTGAGGTTGAATATTTATTCAGGGGGTTATGGAGAAGGAAGGGTGAAGGGGGGGACAGAGAGAGAGAGAGAGAGAGAGAGAGAGAGAGAGAGGAGGAGAAAGAGACAGAGAAAGGGGGGAGGCAGAGAAGTGGAGAGAGACGCAGAAGCGAAGCTGCCTCTCCGAGAGGAAGATGGAAAAGAGAGCAAGCTCAGGCCAGAAGCTGAAGATCAGCCTGCCTCAGCGGATGGGGGAGGGAGTGGGCGTGGCTTGTCTCTTAAAGTGTTAGGGAAGAACTGACTTCTGCAAGTCTTCTACATGTATATGCATGCATATACACAAACAAATGCATATAAATTAAAAAAAACTTTCATTTATTCTAAAAACAATGTCAAACATAGAAAAACATAAGGCAACCTTACTTACTAAGTGGGTTTTCATTAGGTGGAAAGTTGGCGTCTCAAAGCTTTGGAAACTTGCTCCATCAACAACCAGATGCTTGCCACAGGTGAGGACATTCTTTTCTTTATAACTATGTAATTTTACATATGATGGCATTATCAAAAGTAGCAAAATGATCTACCTAAAATCAATATTCCCAACCATTTAGGACTAAAAATGTCTTTTTCTTTAATTTTTGTCATACAAGCATCTTTAAAATTTTATTTTTTAGGTGCCATAGCTACTAGAAGGTAGGCTTTTTCCCTCCTAAGACAGGGTTTCTCTGTTTAACAGTCCTAGCTGTCCTGGAACTAGCCCTCATAGTCTAGGGTGGCCTCAAACTCACAGAGATCTGCCTACCTCTGTCTCCCAAGTGCTGGAATTAAAGGTGTGTTCCACCACCGCCCAGCTGAAGGTAGGCTTTTGTACATACTAAGCAAGCTAAACTCCCAGTCTCTACAGCATTTTAAATGTCTGTCTGTCTGTCTGTCTATCTAGGCATATATATTGAAGCCAACATGGACTAAATGAATTCCAGACTAATGGGGGCTTAAAGACTCTATCTAAAAAAAAAAAAAAAAACCAAACAAACAAAGCAAAACAAATAATGTAAAAGAAAGAGAAAGCATGCAAGCACATGAGAAATGAGGGAGGGAGATTTCTTCGATATGTGTACAGGCCAGAGGGACAACCTAGTGTTACACTCAGGAACTTCAATCACTCCCTTGGAGAGTAAGTTTCTCACTGGCCTGGAGCTCATCAATTAGTCTAGACTGGCTAGTCAGCTAGCTCTGGACTCTTCCTGTCTCTACCTCCCTGTCTCGGGGGTGGGGTGGGGGGGTGGGGAAGAGGTTCCAAGAACATTGCACCTTGCCATTTTATCATTTTATGTGGGTTCTAGAGGTCAAACAAGGCAAGTGCTTTACTGCTTGAGCCATGGCCCCATTCACAAGAATGATTTCAATTTCTCTAATCATTCTTTTGAATTAGACTACAAATTTATGTGCCTACCAGTTTTATTAAAATGAGCTTGTGGAATAAAAGGAAAAAAACAGCTATTATCAACTGGAATGAAGAAAAGCAAAACACAGGTCTTATATTAATCAAGCAAGTAACTTTTGTGTGTAGCACTGCTAGGAATTAAACCTAGGGCTTCCAAAACACTAGGTGCTCTACTATTGAGCTATCTCCCTAACCTTTTCACTTTTTCTTTTTAAATTTTCAACCTTTAATTGTATTTATTGCTATTGTATGTATGTATGTACATGTATGTATGATGTGTATGAGAGTATGTGAGGCACTCAGGATAACTATGTGGTATTCTATCCTTTCATCTCTCCATGGGTTCTAGAAAATTGAACTCAGGTGGTCAGGGTTGGGGAGCAACTACCTTTACTCACTAGGTCATCTTATCAGTCCTACTTAAAAAATTTTTTTTTAATGTGAATGAGAGTTTTGTCTGCATGTATATCTGTCTATCATGTGTATGTCTGATACGCATAGAGGATAGAAGATGTGGTATCAGAACCCCTGGAGCTGTCATGTGTGCACAGGGAATCAAACTTAGGTCCTCTGAGAGAGCTGCCAATACTCTTAACTGCTGAGCCATCTCCAGCCCGGGCCCTGCTTTCTGAGACAAGGTCTCACTAACTTGCCCAGGATGACTTTAAACTCAGTAGCCCAGATAGGCCTTGATCCTCCTACTCCTGCCTCCAAAGTAGTTAGGATTACAGGCCTGCAAGAGATCTTCAGCAAATAATCAGTACTCCCTAATATTTGAGGGTTATTTTAAGCCTCAGAGCTAACAGCAATGAACAAAGTACTGTCCCTACTTTAAAATATATCATTTTACATAATTTTCTTTTTCTTTCCTTTCTTTCCTTTCCTTCCTTTTCCTTTCCCTTCCTTCCTTCCTTCCTTCCTTCCTTCCTTCCTTCCTTCCTTTCGAGACAGGATTTCTCTGTGTAGCCCTGGCTATCCTGGAACTCGCTCGTAGATAAGACTGTTTGAACTCACAGATCCCAGATTTGCCTGCCTCTGCCTCCTGAGTGCTAGGATTAAAGGACTGAGCTACCACCACTGGGCTAAAAAGGTATCATTTCTTATGCAATGGGATCTAAAAGGATTCAAAATATAGAATGTTTCTGAAATCTATTTTTCTGCATAAGGACAATTAAAAGAAATATACTTCCTATTTTAATATCATCCTTTAATCAAAAGATGATCAAAGCAGGCGGTGCAGAAACCCTCTCAACAAACTATCTTTACAGGCTAGCATATAACCATGCACCAGCATCCCTATTCCTAAATAACCAGGCCACGTAAACCATAGTTCAAAAATCAAAGTAAATGCAACACGACTGCAGTACAGGATTTGCTGACGAGACTGTGAGCTTCATAAGAACATAGCCACGCCCGTTTATTTCAGTCACCAGGGTGCTCAGCAGACAAATCAAGGTCTTCCGTCGGATTGGTGCCCGTACCACTTAGCTCTTAAAGATTAAACCATGTGAGAATTATCAAATAATTGTTTAGGTTTTTAATGAATTTTTGTATTAACAAACAAACGAGTTTAAGAATTACCATTAGAATTTGTAATATAGACATTCCTACATCTCTTAATGTTTTATAAGATATATGAAGAATAACAAACTCAAAAAACTAGAAATGTTTCCAGTGGATTCTTTTTTTTTTCCTTTTGAGGCAGGGTTTCTCTTTGTAACCCTGGCTGTCCTGGAACTCCTTCTGTAGGCTTGCACCACCATACCCAGCCCGAAGGGTTCTTTTACAAGTTCCTCAGTAAAAATCCAGAGAACTCATGGAATATGGATGCTAATATGTTGAAATTAATGCCAGCATAAATATTATCCACACTTAGGCTTCCTGAAGTTCCAGTGAAAGAACCAAATTTAGGCATTCCCAGATTTCTGTAACATTTCCAGCTCTCACATAAGTTCTGTGTGATGGCAGGGATCCCCCAAGGCTGTGTGCAGCCAAGTGAATGCTCTGCCTCAGTACTACAGTCCCACCACCATTTTAAAATCTGTTTTATTTACTGTTTTGGTTTCTTTTTACAACAAATAGGAACAATTAGATACCATAGTTAAAATGGATGGTAGCAGTGTACACATTTAGTAAATAGAACTTGGGAGGCAGAAGCAGGAGGATCTGTAAGTTCAAGGCCAGCCTGGTCTACAGTGAGAGTTCCCAAAACAAAAATAAAAACAAAAAACCCACAATGGTACCTCTTCTTTAGTTTTTGTTTCAAAACAAACTTCATGTCTGGTGGAATGTTCTCTGTCCGTTTCAGAGCCCTTGCTTAGGCACATGCACATGGCTTCGGAGATTGTGGTACCCACAGTTTGCGCCCTCTCCATCCTCATTGCTGCCCTGCTGCTAACACTCCTCCTCAGGAGCCACAGCTGAGATAGGATCTCATCTCCACCTTCATCTTTCGGAGGATCTTCAGAATCACGCTTCTTTTTCTGCTTCAAAAATTATGTGATGTCTATTTTTTAGGTTTTGAAAATTACCTCCGAATCAAAATAAAAACAAGCATAAATAAAATGAAAGCAACCTGTAATTTCAATTCTCCTGAAGTCAAGAGTTAATATTTTGCTATATATTGTAAGACTTTAAGACAATTCTGAAGCCATTTTGACAATTCTGAATCCTCTCAGCCTCCATGCCATAGTGCTTCCCCTCCTCCCCTGGGAACCAAGGACCTAACAGCTACACTCGCACGTACTCAGTTCCTGAACAATTACCCATATACGTATGTTTTGATTTGGTCCCCTGGGAAAAGGGGTCAAAATGACCTCTTACCTCATCTGATCTGGCAACAGTTCTTCAGCCAATTATTGGTAATAGCCCTTTCGAATAAGCCAATCAGAATAGTCAAAGAACAGCCCCCCTTGCTTCTGTGGCCCATTTAAAAGTAGACTGTACCAGCTATTTGAGGTCTCTCGGCTTCCCGAATGCTGGGGGACCCTGTCATGACAGAATTAATAAAATCCTCATGCTTTTACATCGGCTGTGGTGTGTGAGATAGTCTCTGGGGGTGACTCCTCCTCGGTGTTTGGACGCTAGAGTCCAACAATATCATTCACATACTTCATTTTTCAAAATTAGGAATATAGTCTATAGCTTTGTAACTTGATTATTTTTCATGTATCTGGAAAGATTACTATAATATACAAATGACTGTCACTCAAGCACTGCCCTATCTGTTGGATAACATCAACCTAAAATCCTTTCAGGCTGTAGACTATTACCTAAGCAGGTGGGCAGTAAGAGAACGGAACATGTGTGTCCTGAGACCACGCGTGTCAGTCACTGCTGCAGTCAGCAAGGAGACACTGCAATATCAAGCTGTGACGGTAAAACATCTGCTAGGGAACAAAGGTCTCTGTTTTTTTGTTTTGTTTTCTCTTTAATTTAAATAAAAGCTGGCGTGGCACTGCACACCTTTAATCCCAGCACTCAGGAGATAGGCAGGCAGATCTGAGTTTGGGGCCAGCCTGGTCTACACAAGAGCACTCTAGTACAGCCAGGACTACATACCCTGTCTTAAAGACCACTTTATTTTTTTTTTATTTTTACTTTTTAGACCACTTTATTTTTAACCATGATAAAATTAATCTCCATTTATTAGAGGACAAATGGGGCTTAAGAGGGAATAGTAACATCAGGCATTTTTACTCATTATTTAATTCTATTTATTTTTGTTTCTGAAACAAAAACAAACAAACAAAAAAAGAGATCTGATGGGCAAGGGTAATGCACACCTTAAATCCCAGCACTTTAATCCAACGATCTTTTGAGGTTTATCAAGACAGGCTGGCCTTGAACCCAGAGCTCCTCCTACCTCTGCCTGACAAGGGCTGAGAATAAGGGTGCCCCACCACAGCTTGGTGGTGCTTACTTTTTGATTTTAAAAAATCAAAGTAAGAAAAAACAAAAAAAAAAAAATCAAAGTAAGATTTTTAAAATGGTGTTTACATTTGGGGCCCAATGAAATTGAGCTGAGGAAAACTGTTTATTAACAAAATTGCTTTTCATGTTAAGTTGGGGTCTGTTTACGATTTCTCTCTCTCTCTCTCTTTTTTTTTTTTTTTTTTTTTTTTTTTTTTTTTGAGACAGGGTTTCTCTGTAGCTCTGGAGCCTATCCTGGTACTAACTCTTGTAGACCAGGCTGGTCTCGAACTCACAGAGATCCACCTGCCTCTACCTCCCGAGTGCTAGGATTAAAAGCGTGTGCCACCACTGCCCGGCCATGATTTTTTTCTCTCTCTATCTCTCTCTTTTTTTTTTTTTTTTTTTGGTTTTTCGAGACAGGGTTTCTCTGTGGCTTTGAAGCCTGTCCCGGAACTAGCTCTTGTAGACCAGGCTAGCCTCGAACTCACAGAGATTCGCCTGCCTCTGCCTCCCAAATGCTGGGATTAAAGGCGTGTACCACCACCGCCTGGCTCATGATTTTTCTCTTTTACCAATGATTTTGAAATTGAACTCTTCAAATTTAAAATGCAAAGATATTACCACGCAAAAGTCATTTTCATTTCTTTGATTCTAGAGTTAGCTGATGTATTAAGTGGCCAACAAAATGAATCTGAGACTTGCCAAGTCAAGTAATAACCTGGCAGGCCATTCAGGGGATGACAGGTGAACAATTGTATTCCTGATGTGTAGATTCAAATTAACAATATAAAAGTATCTAAAACACGAGGCACTCAACACATCGCAGCATATTCAAGAGAACACAGATACCTTGCAGGGACCCTCGGCACGTGTTACTTGAAGTGCACCTGGCTGCAGGTAACCATGTTAATAAAAGCAGCCCTTTCTTCCAGGCTACCATTCAGTGTCAACTCAGAAAAATCTGTAACCAGAAAGACAATGAGGTCAGTCAGAACTGTTTCACTCCATGTATGATGCTGATTTACCACAACACAGCAGATGAGAAGGCGCGTGGATGATACCTGTCTTCCACTTGAAAAGAATCTAAGGAATCTGGCAAAACTCAGCCAGGGCAATTGTTTATACATAAAACCCTCCTTTTAAACCAAGATTAAACAATCTGACATTTAAAAGAACTAAAAATAGAGTAAAAGAACAAAAGAAAGAACAAAGGAAAGAAATAAGGAAAGAAAGGAGGGAAGAAAGGAAGGAAGGAAGGAAGGAAGAAAGAAAAAGAGAAGGTGAGCTACCCTCCCTTGGGAACCAACTACATTAATTTCTGTGTCACCACTTAAGGCTCAATAAGTGTCTTTTCTGAATCCTGCTATAATGTAATTTCAGAGAAGAAATTCTTAGGATTTACATGGGGTTTTTTGTTTGTTTGTTTGTTTTTTGTTTTTTTTTGAGGCAAGGATTCTCTGTGTAGCTTTGGAGCCTGTCTTGGAACTAGCTCTGTAGACCAGGCTGGCATTGAACTTGAATATGCTGTCACCACCTGGCTCTAAGTTCTACATCTTACTTAAAAATACACAGCATAGCCGGGCGGTGGTGGCGCACGCCTTTAATCCCAGCACTTGGGAGGCAGAGACAGGTGGATCTCTGTGAGTTCGAGACCAGCCTGGTCTACAAGAGCTAGTTCCAGGACAGGCTCCAAAACCACAGAGAAACCCTGTCTCGAAAAACCTAAAAAAAAAAAAAAAAAATACACAGCATGATTTTAACTAATGATTTCCAGAAAAATTCTTTCAGTTTAAAGTTTTCTGCATTTTGTCTATATGTGATAGTATCAACTGTCAATTTGACAAACTCTAAAATCACCTGGGAAATAGGACTGGGCACACTGTGAGTTATCCTGATTGTGTTAACTCATGTGGAAAGACCTGCCCACTAAGGACAGAACCATTCCCTGGACTGCTTTAAATTGGAGAAAGTGAACTGACACCAGCACACATGCATGCATTGCTGCTTTCTTCTTCTGACTACAGACTTTACATCAGCAGCTACTGCTGCCTTCACTTCCTTACCATGATGGGCTGTACCGTCACTGTGAAATAAAATAAAGCCCTTGACCCTTGAATTGCTTTTATCTGAGTATTTATCATTGTAATAGGAAAAGAAACTAGGATATAAATTATTACCAGGAGTGGGGTGGAGATTATATGGTGACCGGGGCAGGTAGGGGTAGAGCTGTGCTGGTTAGTGTTAGTGTTAATTTCAAATCGATAGAATCTAGACTCACTTAGTAGATGGCATCTGGGCATGTCTGTGAGGAATTACCTTGATCATGTTAAGTGATGTGGGAAGACCCACTTTAATTATGAACAGGACCGTTCCTTGGGCAGGGATCATGGATGTTTAAGTGGAGAAAAGGAACTCAGTAGCAGAATGTATTTACTGCTGCTCTCTGCTTCCTCAGTGTGAATGCAATGTAACTGGCTGCTTGCTTTAAGTTCCTGATGTCTTGACTTCCCCACCATGATAACATTGAACCTTGACCCATGGGCCAATATAAACCCTTTTCTATTCTCTTTCTTAAGTTGCCTTTTGTTCTGTTTTTTGGTTTTTTTTTCAAGATAGGGTCTCCCTCTATGTAGCCCTGGCTGTCCTGGAACTCACAGAGATCCACCTGCCTCTGCCTCCTGAGTGCTGGGATTAAAAGTGTGTGCCACCACTGTCAGGCTCCTTAAGTTGCTTTTTTAGGTATTTTATCATAGCAAAATAAAGAAACTAAGACAGTATCAATCAGTAAAACTACATTCCTACCTGTGGCTAATTAAGGAATCTGAAACTTCTATTCTGTCTGAAAACTGTCAGATTTATTCTCAGATAAACATAATATTTGAATGTGACAACTTAAGGTCCACATGTGAGATAACACCACACTCAGTTTGCATGAAGACAAGGGTTTTAAGGTGTTTACTGAAAAAAGCCAGAAGGCCAGCTAATAACACAAAGAGCTAAGAGACTAACATGGGCAATCTTTGACAGAATGCCATAAATGGCAACTTTTTTTTTTAAATATTTATTTATTTATTATGTATATAATATTCTGTCTGTGTGTATGTCTACAGGCCAGAAGAGGGCACCAGACCTCATTCCAGATGGTTGTGAACCACCATGTGGTTGCTGGGAATTGAACTCAGGACCTTTGGAAGAGCAGGCAATGCTCTTAACCACTGAGCCATCTCTCCAGCCCCCATAAATGGCAACTTTTATCTAGCTGCAGAGAATACTCTAGGGAAGAAGTATCACCATGGTTACAGTATGAAGTGTGAACTAACATTTCCATCTTATCACTGACCTCTACACCTGTGTCCCTACTTCTTGCCCTTATTCATTAAAGGCTCATTTATTCAGAACAATAAGAAAAAAGCACTTGCTAGTGATTATTATACTTACACTCATATAAAGTCAGATTTTCCTTTAACTTTTTTTTTTTTCAAGACAGGGTTCCGCTGTAGTTTTAGAGCTAGACTAGGCTGGCCTCAAATTTACAAAGATCCACCTGCCTCTGCCTCCTGAGTGCTGGGATCCTTTAATGTTTTATACCTACAGTTCAGGAAAAGACCTGTAACAACGATTCCTCCCAGAAAGATTTAATTTACTACAAGTCATCTTTACCAGGCTTATGAAAACTGGAATGATCTACAGGAGAGCTGTCACTCAGTTGCCACACTGTTTTCACCTTCTTCTGATTACTGCTTATTTCCACTCTCCATTTCTGGGGCTTCTCACTAAAGAAAAAAAAAATCAAAAGAAAGTAAAAAATAAGGGGGAGGGAGATGGGAAGAGGGGGAGGGAAATGGGAGGAGGGGAAGACGTGGAAATTTTTAATTAAAAAGAAATAAAAAAAGAAATTAAAAAATAAATAAACTCCCAGTGACCAACCAACAGCTATTACATTCCTTCCTTCTAGTCACTTAGTGAAATCCTTATGTGACAAGTACTGAGGAGGGATATAAATAGGAAACAATGTGTACCTTGGAGAAGTACAGTCAAGGGAGGGGCAGAGACAAGAACATCCGCACATTTCAGGTAAAAAGGTAAAAACATTTTTGGTGTTGTTGTTTTTCAACACAGGGTTTCTCCTTGTAGCCCTGGCCATCCTAGAAATTGATCTGTAGACCAAGTTGGCGTCGAACTCAGAGATCTGCCTGTCTCTGCCTCTCTAGTGCTGGGATTAAAGTGCACCACCACTTACAAGCAGAGAAACAAATCTTTAAAAAAGCAATAATAGACGGGGCTGGAGAGACAGCTCAGCAGTTAAGAGCACTGGCTGTCCTTCCAGGAAACACGGGGCTCAATTCCCAACACCCACACAGCAGTTCACATGTCTCTAACTCCAGCTCCAGGGCTTCTGATGCAGGCAAGACACCGATAAACACAAAATACACACACACACACACACACACACACACACACACCCGTATGTGGGGAGATAGTCAAGACCGGTAACTATTTAAAAGACAAAGTGAAGAGTGAGAGTGAACAGAGGGTGGGTCCTAGGTTTCTGACTTGGGCATTAGGTGGTTAACAATGGTCATTTGAAAATCAAACACATGAGGAGGAAAGAGTATTACAAAAGAAGGTAGATTTTTTTTTTTTTTTTTTGGTTTTTCGAGACAGGGCTTCTCTGTGGTTTTTTTGGAGCCTGTCCTGGAACTAGCTCTTGTAGACCAGGCTGGTCTCGAACTCACAGAGATCCACCTGCCTCTGCCTCCCGAGTGCTGGGATTAAAGGCATGTGCCACCATCGCCCGGCAGAAGGTAGAATTTTTAAAAATTTAATTAACTAACTAAATTAAAAACTGATTATCATGGCAGGAAAGATGGTTCAGAGGGTACAGGCCTGATAACTTGAGTTTCATGATGAAAGGGAAGAACTGACTCCTGTGAGTTGCCCTCTGACTTCCACATGTGTGCCTTAGCTTACAAGCACCCAACTACATATATACAAGCAAGCAAGCAAGCAAAATAAATAAATAAATATTCCTTTGGAGCCATCAAGATGGCTCAGTGAGCAAAGGTTCTTGCTGCCAGATGATGGAAGGCTGGCAACTTGAGTCTGATTCCCAGAATGCATATGAAAAGTGGAAGAATGGACCCTACAAAGTTACCCTCTGACCTCCATATACATGTCATGGCATGTACTCTCCTATATATACACACACACACACAATAATAATAATAGTAAATACATTTTTGTTTTGTTTTTTGAGATAGGGTTGCTGGAACTTGCTCTGTAGACCCTCAAACTCAGAGATCCACCTGCCTCTGTCTCCTGAGTGCGGGATTAAAGATGTGTGCCACCACTGTGTAGCTATACATATTTTAGCTGGGTAGTAGTGGTGCATATTTTTAATCCCAGCACTCAGAAGGCAGAAGCAGGCAGATCTCTGTGAATTCGAGGCTAGCCTGGTCTACAAAGTGAGTTCCAGGATAGCCAAGGCTACACAGAGAAACTCTGTCTCAAAAAACCCAATAAATAAATAAATACGTATTTTTTTTAAACTTTTAAAGGTTTATTTAGTATATGAGTGCAGACAGGCATGTTCCACAGCACATGTACAGGTCAGAGGACAACTTTCAGAGAATCAGTTTTCTGTTTTTGAGGCAGAGTTCTCATTCCTTCTGCTGTACACTAAAGAGTATTTTTTTGGTCCCTGTCCTGGAACTAGCTCTTCTAGACCAGGCTGGCCTCGAACTCACAGAGATCCGCCTGCCTCTGCCTCCCGAATGCTGGGATTAAAGGCGTGTGCCACCACCGTCAGGCTTACAGTTGCTTTTTACATGAGTCCTGAACAGCAAAAAACTCAGGTCATCAAGGGTTGTGCAGTGAATGATTTTCTTACCAGGAGAGCCATTTTCCAAACCTTTTAAACCTTCCAAACCCTTTTAAACATTTATTTATTCATCCATCTATCTATCTATCTATCTATCTATCCATCCATCCATCCATCCATCGATCATATGTGTGTGAGTGTCCATGGATGTGTTGTGTAGGCCATGATAGGCATGCCAGAGTATACATGTGGATGTCAAAGGACTACTTGGGGAGGTCAGTTTTCTTTTAACCATGTGAGTTCCAAGAGTTGAACTCAGGTCATAATGCTTAGCGACTTTTACCAAGTAAGTTTCTTTCCCCCTTTTTGAGGCAGTGTCTCAATTTGTAGTTCTGTCTAGCGTAAAATTTGCTATGTAGACCAGGCTGGTCTCGGAACTCATAAGACACACCTGCTTGAATTAAAGGCATGTGCCACCACACTCAGTCAAATACATTCTTTCTATAACATGTCCATTTAATTAGACAAATTAAGGGGCCATAGTGTAATGTAACTGGCCATAATGGTTACATGGCATGGCTATAATCCTTTGGGAGCTGAAACAAGATCACAAAGTTAAAGCTAGCCTAGGCAAAATAGTAAGACCCCATTTCAAAATCAACCAATCACTGGGCATGATGGTGCATACTTTTCGTATGACAGAAGCTTCAAGAAGCAGACATGAGGAAGGACAAGCCAGGGAGGTAAGCATTTGCAGTGTGTCAGAGTGAATGGAAACAATTCTCTCCCTCTCACAGTCACACCCTCGGCCTTGCCACCCCTATTTATCTCCATCATTTCCTCTTATCCTATCATTTCTTCCTGGCTATTATTTCTCCCTTGATTTTGTGACAAAACTGTAAATTGACAGAACAAAGACTAGAGGCTCAAAAGTCTCAAGTGACACAAAGTTTGGGAGAAGAAATAGGGAAAGTCATGAACCTTGGGTTGGAGAGTGGGACAATGATTAAAGTTCAGAAGTTAAGCCGTGCTGGGTCATGAAATCCTATGGAAAATGGGCATCAAATTGCCCAGAAGGCACAACGTAATTATTAAGTTTCTCACCTTTGATACAGATTCTTTACAGCAGCTGGTCTGACTGGCAACTGAAAAATGTGTTGCTCATCCAGAGGATTTTGTTTGTAGTATTTTATGCAGGATCTAAAAAGATAAAGCAATCTCTTTTAGGAATAAGAGCCATCAGAAAATATAAAGGCCTTATAGTCTAGAAAAACATTTTACTGAGTACCACTAAGCAGGAAACTAACAGAAGGAATGAATTCAAAGCATAATAGTAACAAACAACCCCCACCATGCCAACAAAACTTGGATGATGTTTTCTTTCTGTCCAAGGAAATCCCATTCACTTAAAAACAAAAATTACAGTAAGCAGATTTCTTATACTAAAAACACATTAGTCTAAGAATGTAGCTAAGAATGTGGCTAGAGCTTCTTGCCTTTCATAGGCAAGGCTCTAGGTTCAATTCCCAGCTAAGCAAAAATATAGACTAAGTAGGAAGTATCTGAAAGATAAAAAAATTAGTACAGAAGAGACAAATACAGACTCAATGGCTTTCAGAATCCTGGGAGTTTAACAATTAAATTTATTTATTGTGTGTGTGTTTGTGTATGTGTGTGTTACCATCTCAAAGTAGATATGTAGAGAGATCTGAGAACAACTCTGAGGTGTTGGTTTTCTCCTTCTACTATGTGGGTTCCTGGGCCTGAACTTGGATCCTCAGACTTAGCACCAAGTATCTTTATCTGCTGAACCATCTCTCCCGTCAAGAATCCAGGGAATTAAACTAATTCATTGATACTACTGATCTTTCCTTTTTCATTTCTCCCACCCTCTCTTCCCACTCCCACCTTTCTCTAGTGCTAGGTAATGAACCCCAGGCCTCATGCACGCTAGGCAAATGCTCTACCCACTGTGCTGCATCTCCAGCAGATCTATAGGAATGATGCTTAACAGGGGGAAAACTTTTTAGATTTAATAAGCAATAATGATTTTAAACTTTCTTCCTTATATCTTTACAACTGATGCAAATTCTAAATTTGGAAAATGTGATTTGGAAAGATGGCTTAAGAGTTAAAAGGGGAGGGGAGTTAAAAAGATTTGCTATGAAGTCACAAGGACCAGAATTCAGATCCCAGAACCCATGTAACAAGCTAAACACCCCACACATGTCTGCAGTGCTAACTCAGCTAAGAGGCAGAGGGAGGATTTCACCTATTTGAGAAAATGCAAACCTCAGGTTCTGGGGAGACCTTTCCTCAGAAAGAAGAAACGGGCAGTGGGGAGCAGTGAAATGATTCCACTGGTAAAGGTGCTTGCTGCAAATCCTACAACCTGTGCTCACTCTCCTCACATAGTAGGAGAGAACAGAGTCCTATAAATTGTTCTTATAACTGCCACATATACGTGTTGGCATGCATATGAATGCACACTAAATAAATATAATTTTTTTTTCTTTTGAGACAGGGTCTCACTATGTAGCCCTGCCTGGTCTTGAACTTGCCTATGTAGGTAGAACATAGAACTCAAGAGATCAGCTGCCTCTGCCTCCTAAATGCTGGGATTAAAAGCATGTGTCATCATACTCAGCCAAAAATCTTTTAGAAAAATAAGTAGCCAGGTGGCGGTGGTGGTACATGCCTTTAATCCCAGCACTTGCGAGGCAGAGACAGGTGGATATCTGGGAGTTTGAGGCCAGCCTGGTCTACAAAGTGAGTTCCAGGACAGCTAGGGCTGTTAAACAGAGAAACCCTGTCTTAAAAAACAAAAAGCAAAAACAAAGTACTTTCACAGTACTAGGATTGTTCTAAACTGCCTGTAGTCAAACTGATCAGCTCTAAGCACAGTCATGCTACTGACATGTCTGTGGATTCCCCAATTAGTAGTGCTTAATCTGATCTAGATTTACAGGAGTATAGAACTGTTTTTTTGTTGTTTTGTTTTGAGACAGGGTTTCTTTGCATAGCCTTGGCTGTCCCAGAACTCGCTCCGTAGACTGCGCTGGCCTCGAACTCACAGAAATCTGTCTGCCTCTGCCTCCCAAGTGCTGGGATTAAAGGTGTGTGCCACCACCGCCTGGCTAAAACTCGGTTTTTAAAATTAGAATACTATTTACTAAGGGCCCATTATGTATCAGGTGCCATATATAGGATACACCATTTAATTCTTCAGCAGTCAATTGAGTTAGTATAAACTTTTTCAGAAAAAAACATGATTCACTGAGAGGAAACTTCCTAAAGAAGCCAGGCATGAGAAAAGGTCAAATCTGATTATTTTTCAATCCAAAGCCTTTCAATCATATAATATTGACCTAAAGCCACACTAAAGTAAAGACTAGGCAAATAGGTTCTAGTCTAACTAGCAATAAAAATTGCAAATATTTAAAAACAAACAAACAAAAACCCAGACTTATTTTATGTGTATATATTTGTGCCTGCGTGTATATATGTGTATTATAACACAATTAAGCAGGAGTCTAAGGAGGCCAGAAGAGGGTGTCAGATACCCTAGAACTGGAGCTAAAGATGGTTTTGGTTTGTGAGCTTCCATGTGGGTGCTGGAACAGAACCTGGTCCTCTGCAAGAGCAGCCAGTACTCTTTTTTTTTTTTTTTTTTTTTTAAATATTTATTTATTTATTATGTATACAATATTCTGTCTGTGTCTAAGCCTGCAGGCCAGAAGAGGGCACCAGACCTCATTCCAGATGGTTGTGAGCCACCATGTGGTTGCTGGGAATTGAACTCAGGACCTTTGGAAGAGCAGGCAATGCTCTTAACCTCTAAGCCATCTCTCCAGCCCCCGCAGCCAGTACTCTTAACTCTTAACTGCAGATCTATCTCTCCAGCTCTGTGCCTACTTTCAACTGTACTTTTTAGAAGAAGATATTTAGAAAAGGACAGATCCTAAATAAGTAAACAGTAGAGCAATACTTACTGTAAGCTGTTGTGGTGGCTAGCACCTGTTATTCCAGCGCTTGGGAAACTGAGGCAGGAGGATTACATTGAGTTTGAGGTCATCATGGACTACAAATGAGACAAGCCTCAAAGCAAAATGAAAAAAAAATACTTACTGTGTTAAAGAAAAGAGAAGCTCATGCTGAGGTTTAATGAAAAGCATGCAGATGACTAGAATTTCTAGAATATGGTGGAGTTTCTGAACACGATAAATCTGTTCTTGTGTAGCTACTGATGGAGAAATGAAGTATTCCTGGAAAGAAAGAAATAGAGAGTAAGGAGGCAAAGACTAGGCAGAGCCTCTGAGGAAAAAATGGCCATTCCCTCTACCTCTAAATGTGTACGCTTAATACTAGGATTAGAAGGGAGAGGTAATGACACAGAATTCACCATCTTTCACAACTACCTTTTAAACTCAGGTCTTTACACCGGGTGGTGGTGGTGCACACCTTTAATGCCAGTACTCGGGAGGCAGAAGCAGGCAGATCTCTGTGAGTTCTGAGCCCAGCTTGGTCTACAGAGTGAGTTCCAGGACAGGCTCCAAAGCTACACAGAGAAACCCTGTCTCAAAGAAACAAAAACAAAACAACAACAACAAAAAAGAATGCCACAGGCAAACAGTGGTATACAGTCTCCCAGACAAGCTAATCCCAGGGCTGTGTCATTAAGGAGGCACAAGTGGGCAGCCAACACTACTCATTACTGGAGACGGCATGAAGGACTGACTAATCTGAAAGACCACTCTAAATCTCTCTATACCTGGTGAACCCAAGGCTGAGAAACTAACAAAGTGTTCAACAATCTTTCCCTAGTACACATTACTTATACACCAGCAGAGCTTTTGGAGAAGAAATTTGTCAAGCTAAACTAGTGTCATCAAATGTTCCTCTTTCCAGTCCTACTTCTGAGACCAAACCTCATAACCCATAGTGGGAATGATAAACACACTTTGACAATAACCTTCAAGACTAGGCTCTTGAAGTGTGCAGTTTCTACAATTCTGTCCCCTTGAACAAACCTACAACTAGCAGACATGATGTGGTTTTATGATGTGGAATTTAATTAGCATAGTTTCTGTGTGGTTATTTCAGGGCTGAGCACCCAGATACAACCAAGCAGCCTCCTTGTAACAAATTGATGCCCAATGTGGGGCCCAAACCCTTGACCCTGAGATTAAGAGTCTCATGATCTACTGACTGATAATATTATATCCTTCTGCAGTCTTTGATGGAGTTGAAGAAAGTTATAGTTTTTGTTACAATAAAAAATAAAGTAAATAGAAATATTGTAACTGTAATTCTTGTTTGATACCTGTTTTGTTATATGTAATTTTATTATGTTAAAGTTAAAACCTTCCTTTTTATTTAAACAGAAAAGGGGAGGTGATGTGGAAATCCCCTCTGTATGCTGTGACTACCTTTGGTTAATAAAAAGTTTGTCTTGTGCCTGGCAGAGCAGAATAGAGTTAGGCAGAGAAAACTAAATTGAATGCTGGGAGAAAGAAGGTAGTATCAGGAGAAGCCATATAGCCCTGCCAGAAACAGATACCAGATGGAAACTTGCTGGTAAGCCACGGCCACGTGGTGATACACAGATTAATAGAAATGGGTTAAATTAAGATGTAAGAGATAGCCAATAAGAAGCTAGAGCTAATAGGCTAAACAGTGATTTAATTAATATAGTTTCTGTGTGGTTATTTCAGGGCTGAGCAGCCGGAAATGAATAAGCAGACTCCTTACAACAAATTGGCGCCCAACCTACTAGAGGTTTATTCACATAACTAGGTCACTAATAGATTATTTGTTAATCAAAGGAGGATTATCTCCTGGTCCTTATAAAAACCTACCCAGAGTAGCCTTTTAGAAGACTGAGAGGCACAGGAGATGAGCCAATTCACTAAAGAATGTCATAATTTTATTTTGTTTTGTTTTTTGAGACATGGTTTCTTTGTATAATCCTGGCTGTCCTGGAACTCTCTTTGTAGACCAGGCTGGCCACACACTCAGAGATCCACTTGCCTCTGTCTCCATAGGCTGGGATTAAAGCTGTGTGCCCAGCTGGAATTGTGCAAACTTCTTTAGCAAATAAGCCTTAAAATATAACACAAATGAGTCAAAAGGATATAAAATAAATACTCCACCATAGGTCTAATGGCTTTTCTAAACATTCTAGATAAAAGTTTTGGTAGAACATTGGCTTTGACTAAATAAAAACTACGTATCAGTTGCATAAACACAAAGAGAAAAGGAAAGAATGACATGGAACAAGCTACTTTTAAATTTACTTTATAAATAGTAATAACTGGCATAAGTTGGCTCACTGATACTTCCAAGGATCTGGAACAGAGGCTGGCACACTATAGACACTTAGCAACTGTGTGCAGAATGACTATATAAAAGAAAGAAACTTACCAAATGATTCAAAGATGCAAGTTCCTGACCTATTCAAAAAAAAAAAAACCCATACATGCAAATAAGCTTTAATAATTTTGCAACGAAATTTTAAAAATTAAAAAAAGGAACCTAAGAAAAATTTTCATAGTTCATACATTAAAGATGCAATCAAGTTAAATAGTTCCTTAATTATATTATAAATACATACTAATATTTTAAAACTGATCATAGCTTAAATAGTTCCTTAATTATATTATAAATACATACTAATATTTTAAAACTGATCATAGCTTGCACCTAATAAATAAAGTATCAAGTGTTAAGTAGTGAAAAAAATCTTTTAACTAGGGACAACAAGATGGCTCAGTAGGTAAAGGTACCTGTCACCCAACCTGCCAACGTGAGCTAGATCCTGGGATCCACATGGTGGAAGGAAGAACTGACTCCAGCAAGTTGTCTTCCCACTTCCACATGCACACCGTGGCACAGGTGCCCGGCCACAAGACATTAAAAAACAACTAATATCTAAACAAAAAAAACGAACACTATAGTTGTCTTTAACTTATTATATTTATCAAGTGGGAAAAAGGCTTAGAGAAAGAAAATACTTGTCTCACAGCCAAAGACTTACAATGAGTAGGAAGGTAAAAATCTATGAGTATTTATATGTGGCAACTAACCGGTTTTCAAGTTTTTAAGTTAGAAAAAGGACTCACTGACAAAAAAGCTGATATAATCTTTCTTTAGTTTGTCCAATCCAATTTCCAAGAGCATTTGAAGTGGGGTAGTTCCAGAGAGAGGGACACTGTCCATGGCTCCATGGTAAGATTGATGAATGAGCTTACTTAGTAAGCTGTTACTCCCACTGTGCAGCTAGAAATAAAAAAAAATCTTAAGTTTAAGTATAAACAAATGTAATAAGCAAAAGATTAGGAGTTCAAAATTATAATTTTACATTTTCAGTCTCCTAACACTATAAATTATTTCAATTAATGCCCCAAAATTAACCTGAGCTACCAAGATGCCACTCCTGGCTGGAGATGTGGCTTTCGAGCCCTTGCCTAGCATGCCCAAAACTCTGCGTGCTGGATCTTACGAACAGGAGTGGCAGCACACGTCTGTAAGCCCAGCACTCAGAAGGTAGAGGCAGATGTACAGAAGTTCAAGATCAGCCATCCTCAGCTAGGCAGTCAGTTTGATACCCTAATTTTTGTGTGTGTGTGTTTTTTTGTTTTGTTTTTTGTTTCATTTTGTTTGTTTGTGTTTTTGACACAGAGTTTCTTTGTGAGCTTTGGAGTCTGTCCTGGAACTCACTCTGTAGGCCAGGCTGGTCTTGAACTCACAGAGATCAACCTGTCTTTGCCTGCTGAGTGCTGGGATTAAAAGTGTATGCCACCACCGCCTGGCGATACCCTAATTTTTCAAAAACCAAGAAGAAAAAGTAAAGCTATTCCTACTTCACTTGTGTGTTGAAAATCCAAAGCAACTAAGAAAGGTCTAAAGCGGTAAGCTTAATTTTACCAAAGAGAAAACAGAGTTGGTTCTTTGAAGCTTTACAAGTAAGACTCCGCCTGTTGACTTCGGAACCACTGGGCAACTTTACTAAAGTTCTCCACTTCACTCACAATGCAAGTAGATTGAAGGAGCGTGAACTCTGCTCCTTGAGGTCTACACATATGACAAGTTACTCTTCAATGTGACAGCCAACATAATAATTTACAAATTAGAAATAGCTATCAATTCAGACTGAACTTAGGCACCAAATGTTAAACAATAGGTTTCAAAATAAATAGTCACCTTACTGCTACTTTCTAGTATCTCTGCTTCAGCTTCTCTTAATCTTCATTTGCTCTTTTTAAAAACTAGCTTCCCTTGGTTTGCACTCAGTGTGTAGCAGGTTCATGCTTACCAACACCCACAACCCAGAAACGCACTTCAACAGGTGAAGTGTGAGCACCTACAACTGCTGCCGCCAGCCCAGGCAAACTCTCAACAGGTGACCTGTGAGCACCTACAACTGCTGCCGCCCGCCCAGGCAAACTCTTAACAGGTGAAGTGTGAGCACCTTACAACTGCTGCTGCCAGCCCAGGCAAACTCCTGTGCTTGTTCTATGTATCCGTTTTTACAACACGCCAAGCTGATCATTGTGTCTGCTGCTGGGGATCAAACTTAGGGCTTCACATAGCTACAAACTAACTTTCAGCATGATGAATTGGTAGCCACAGTATTTAAAATGGTTCCTAATAAGCTAAATCTTTTACTTTGCTTTTTGTTCAGTGTAAAAGTAACAAAACCTCACTTTGGTAAATTCAGACAGTGGCAGAAAGTCCAAGCACAGAGAGCGCAGACAGCGGTTCCTAAGTCTTCTCCCACAGGTGGCTGTTACTCACAATTTAGTCCTCTGGTCCCAGATTGTTTGTTTTTTTTTTTTTTTTCAAAATTTACACTTTATACAGTTATGTGTATTCTGTATCATTTGTTGTCAATCCTGTTTTAAAAGCTGTTACAGGGGTGGAAAGATGACTCAGTGGTTAAGAGCACTTGACTGTTCTTCCAGAGGTCCTAAGTTCAATTCCCAGCAACCACATGGTGGCTCATATCTATCTCTAATGGGGTCCGATGTCCTCTTCTGGACTAAAGGTGTACATGCAGATAGAACACTCATATATAAAATAAATAAATAGTTTAAAAAAGCTATTAAAAGCTATTAAACACATCATTATATGGTTATATTATTGCTACTTAGTCATCTCATCAACAAGAGAAATGTACATTATTTTCAATTTTTGGCTTCTATAAACATTATTATATAAGTATTCTCATGGACAAAAACCTACTTTTATTTTTCCTTTTCTTTTTGGTTTTTAAGGCAAAGTCTCATGACAGCTCAGGCTGACCTCCACATGTGATTATCCTGCGTCTGCTTCTCAAATGCTGGGATTCCCAGGCATGTGCTACCACACCCAGTCTTGGTATATATTTTTGTGCATGAATGCAGCGTAGATTCTAACACAAGTGTTATTTGTTCAAAGATCATATTACATTCCAAGAATTTCAAGTCATCATCAAAACGGCTTTGAAAAAGAGCATCCTAGTTTGTAAGTTTCATCATTCGCCTATGAAAGCATTAATTCCCAGAACAGTTAACATCAGCAGCTTATATGCACCAGGTACTAGGCATTGTGTATGCATTAGATCAGTTCACCGTACACAACATTATGATGCAGATGGATTCCAGTCCTAACACTGCAGTTGAGGGCAGTGACGTACAGAGAAATAAAGGAGCCCAAGTTCACACAGTTAGAAAGTAGCACAGTTGGAATTCAACTTCGACTGTTTGATCCAGTGTTTTATCAAACATGTTCTTTTTGTTTGGTTTGATTTGGTTTGTATAAGACACTGAGAAAAACATTCTGGTCACACCATTCAACCTACCCAAGGCTGTATATCACCACGCTGCAGACTCTGCAGGATCAATGTGAAACACGTCACCAAGTCTTGATATGAAATCACACCTTGAAAACCAAGTTACACAGAAATCATTTCCACATCTCTACTCATCAAAAGTGTCATTTTAATGACACACACATGAAACAAGGAAAAACCCTGCACTTTTGAAAGGGGGAATTTAAAATTGGGAGGGAAAAAAACCAAAAAGACATAGCTCAGACTGGCAAATAACATTTGTAGGAACATTAAAAAAAAAAAAAACAATCTTATTCAGGTATATTTTGATTCATAGAAATACAGTTACGTTTTACATTTTACTTTATTTTTTTGTGTGTGGGGGTTTCAACACTAGGTTTCTCTGCCTAGTCCTGGCTGTCCTGGAACTCGAGCTGTAGATCAGCCTGGTCTCAAACTCAGACATCTGCCTGCTTCTGCTTTCTATGTGCAGATTAAAGGCATGCGCCACCACTGCCCAGCAAGTTTTATATTTTAAAAGGCACGAGAAGCTGGGGTGGTGACACAGACTTTTGTTGTTGGTATTGTTTTTCCTGAGATGATTTCCCTGTGAATATCTGCTATTCTGGAACTCACTATGTAATCAATCTAGGCTGGCCTTGAACTCAGAGATTCACCTGCCGCTACCTCTACAGTACTAGAATTCAGTTCCCAGCACCAACATGGTAGTTCACAACCATCTATAACTAGTTCCAGAGGATCTGAAGATGCCTTCTGAACTGTGTAAGCAGGTTGATCTCATGTGGTATACAAACATATTGTAAGCAAAACACCAATACATACAAAATTAAAAAAAAAAAACCTTAAACAAACAAACAAAAGCCCACTTAAGTTATGAAGGACACATACTGCTGCTCATTTTGCACCAAAGCTGTTCAGCAAAATCGAGATCCTCCCGCACTGTGATAAGCACAGACCGGTCAACTGCAGCTGCATCATGGTTCACCGCCTGAAAAAGAAGCAAACTTCAGAGAACACTCAGTTTATTTACTTTTAAAGTGAAAGAGTTTAAGCTTTAAACACTGTTCTGAGAGCTGTGAAGACACAAACACATACAAAGAACAATACAAATGTTATTTTCCACAGAATTCCATTTACTAATAAGGAGACATACTTGAACAGAGTAAAATAATAGAGTCTTAAAGTTGTTTTAAATCTGTAATGCCTAACCAGACATGGTGGCAGTGCATACCCTAAGACCCAGCACTCAGGAGGCCGAAGCAGAAGTAAAATGAGTTTGAACCTAGCCTGAGCTACATGGCAGAACTGTCTCAAAACAAAAATCAAACACCAAACAAAAACAGCAAAACTATACCGCTTAAAAGTAAGCTTTCAGTTTTGTTTCCACATGAAAATATTGAGTTGCCTTTGTCTCTATTTCCTTTTCATCAGGTGGAAAGTATCTTAGTTTCATAATGGCACATTATGGCATAGTAACAGCATTTATGTTGTGTTCCTATACCACAGCAATACTCTCTACAGTGTATTTAACAAAACTGTTTCTACTCTCTGCAGCCAAATAACAAAAACAAATACAGGATGGAAGGAGATCTGAGATGCTACAAAATGAAAGGTGGCAGTACACCAAAGTTCAAAAGCAGGTTAGGTTACTTTCTTTCTTTTCTTTTCTTTCCTTTTTTTTCTTTTGTAACATTTTTTAATGATTCTTTTATTTTTATTTTATATGTATTGGTGCTTTACCTGCATGAATGTCTGTATGAGGGTGTCAGATCCTTGAGAACTGGAGTTACAGGCAGTTGTGAGAGCTGTTGTATGGGTGCTGGGAATTGAACTTGGGTCCTTTGGAAGAGCAGCTAGTGTTCTGAACCGCTGAGTCATCTCTCCAGCCCACAGGCTAAGATTCTAACTGATAGTCATTGCTTACCTCTTTTTGTGTGTCTTTTTTTGTAGAATCATCGAATTCATCCAGTTTATTTAAGTCTAGAAAGTAGAAAAAGCTCATTAACTTGATTTTATTTTTCTGCTTCCCATATTATTCCCACCGCAATTCTGTTTTCAAGTAGCAAATGTGAGCAGAGGAGTACAGAGGCTGTAGCAAACTACCACTGTGGGAGCCTCCTACAGCTGGAGTGCAGCACGGCAGCACGGGAAAGACACCTACACGGTCCACCAGTCGTCTACAATCTCAAACCCACCTGTGCTACACGAATGTCCATACAGCCTCTCTTTCTGCAGTCCTGAGCCTGATCAGATCGAGGACTCAAGAACAGTTGGCAAGTGCTCTACCACTCACCTACATCCCAGTCCCTCTTTTTACTCTTGCATTTATTTTGTGACAAAGTCTCACTAAGTTGTCTAGCTTGGCATTGAACTTACTCTGCAGCTCTAGCTAACACGTCTCCTGCCTCAGTCTCTCAAGCTAGACTTATAGGCCTGTGCTGCCAGGCTTGGTTCAAACTAAATCTTATAATTTTAATAACATTTATCTTTGATACTTTAGAACCAAAGCTGTGCCTCCAACTAGATCAGATCACAGCTTTAATGTAGTCTAACTCAAAGCTATATAAAGCCACAAACAACTGATATTTAAATATAGTAAGCATATGCACCCAATTAAAAACAAGGAACAAACAAGAACAGATTATGAAAACAAGCACCATTCAGAAATTCTTGTACAAGTTCAACAGCTGATTTTGTTTCCAGAGGTTCAAGCCATTCAGTTACACCAGTCCTCAAACCATCAGCCAAAACCTGTAGAATAATTTAACAGCCAGAAAACATGTTAGCAGAAATCATAGCTTAATTAGTAGGGATGTATTTAATAGTATTAATAAGGTAGCAGTTCTTTAAACAAAATTTTTTAGATCTGTTTATTTTCTTGCTTGTATTGAGTGGTTTTTTTCCCTACCTGTATATCTGTGCATCACATAAGTGCTCAGTGCCTTCAGAGTTCAAAAGAGGGCATTGGATAAACTGGAAATGGAGTTACAGGTGGTTATGAGGCACCATGTAGGTACTAGGAATCAAACCCAGGTCCTCTAGAAGAGCAACAAGTGCTCTTAACTGATGAGCCCTCTCTCCAGCCCTATGGTAATGTGTAATGGTTCTTGACTACTGACCACTCACTAAGGATAATGATTTTGTATGTTATTTAAATCTGGACTAAACTTTCTGAGGCAGATACTACTATTATCCTCATTTGATTGAGGCTAAGAAAACTTCAGTAACTAGATGAAACTCACACAGTTACTAACAAACAGTATAGGATACACATTCAGTAGGTTGGTAGTCTCAACTCTAATGCTATGCACACAGTAACGACATGTGATCCTGAGTAAATAAAGATATATTACAGGTGAAGTAACAATGAAACCACAAATGTGAAACTGAAAGCAAGTTTATCCAAACACAATATAATTTGCACACACCAAAATCTAAGCTGAGTCTATAGTAGGGAAGAACGAGGGAGAAGATCAGGAGAGACGACTCCAGCCAGAGAGAAAAACAGTAGAAAACAGAAGGAAGAGGGCAAATTCATCAAAAGACCAAGAAACTTCACAAGTTTTCTTTCTTTTTTTTTTTTTTTTGCTTCATATGAGAGATCATATCCACCATTCATTCATTTTGTAACATAAAATGACAGGATCAAGTAGTTAATAATTCCTTTATTCCTAGAAAAGAAAAATGTTTTCAACAGAAAAAGAGATCATTTCCTGCTTCCAGAGGGTCTATGAAAAAGGAAAAGATATTTTTTTGTTGTTGTTGTTGTTGTTTGTTTTTTGAGACAGGGTTTCTCTGTGTTGCTTTGGAGCCTGTCCTGGAACTAGCTCTTGTAGACCAGGCTGGCCTCGGACTCACAGAGATCCACCTGCCTCTGCCTCCCGAATGCTGGGATTAAAGGCATGTGCCACCATCACCCAGCTGTAAAGATAACTTTTTATGTGTCAAAATAACTTGGTGGAAGTCAGGGATGTTTAACATATTGCTATATGTAGGATTTTCCAAATCACAAAGAATGGGTCAGTGTGAAATGCCCACAGTGTCTCTATTGAGAAACAATGCATGATTTTGAGGGTGTGTCTGATGGAGGTGAAAGGGCTTTAATTGACTGGACAGCAAATAAATAAAATATAATTTTTAAAGGCAAAAAAAGAGAGGGGAGAGTCAAAAGGACAAACGGGAGAGTACAAGGAAAAAAGGACATATATTCATAAGAATAAAAAAATTTGTATCCATTTATAAAATACAAGGATTGAATTTGAAAAGTCTGTGGACACACACACCCTACACATCTGTGATTCTATGTGTGTGTGTGGTGTGTCAGGGGAAAGGATGGCTTAAACATAGTTGCCATATGACCTAGAAATTTCACCAGAGATGCAGAAAACATATGTTACTACAACAAAAATTTGTATAAATGTTCACAGCAATATTATTCATAATAGTCAAAAAGTACAAAAATATTGGGATGAAAGGATGAATAAGACGCAGTGTATCTGTAGTATGAGATGCTATTAGACAACCAAAACTAACAAAACCTTATTAAGTAGATTAGAAGTTGACAAAGGCTGGCAAGGTTGTGGAGTGAATAATAAACCATACTATGGATACAAGGTTTCATTTAGGACTGATGAAAACGTTTTAAAACTAATTGTGGGGACTGGAAAGGTGGCTTAATGGTAAGAGCACTGGCTTCTCTTCCAGAGGACCCAGATTCAAGTCCCAGCACTGACATGGCAGTTCACAACTAGGTGTAACTCCAGTTCCAGGGGCTACAACACCCTCACACAGGCATACATGCAGACAAGACACCAATGCACATAAAATAAAAATAAATCTAAAAAAATAAATAGCAACAACAACGAAAACCTAATTGTGGTGATGACTTGTATAATTCTGCCAGCCAAGTAGAAAGGTGAAGAATGTAGGAAGCTACTAAGTGGAGCCCCCTTTCATTTTGAGGACAACTGCCACATGAGTAACTACCCAAGTTGTCTAGAGTATGATGAAATATAACATTGAGAATGGATTTTAAAGAAAATCAAAGTTTCACTGTGAAACATTTTCATGATAATGGTTTTTTTTTTTTTTTTTTTTTGGTTTTTGAGACCGGTGTCTCTGTGTAGCTTTGAAGTCTATCCTGGAACTCCCTCTTTAGACCAGGCTGGCCTCCAACTCACAGAGATCTATCTGCTTCTGCCTCCCAAGTGCTGAGATTAAAAGTATGCACCACCACCACCAGACCTATAATGAGTAATTCAATGAAAGAAATTCCAGAAGGATACTCACAAGGAGAAATTTCAGTTCTCTGTGGAGATGATTCAAACAACCTCTGGGCTCTCCTGATTGTACTCTGATATTCTAAAAAGTATCAAAGACCATCAGTTTTCATTGACAACCCCATCTTCTATGTGCAAGAGTCACTGTAACTTGCATTTCAATTATATGTTTTATAAAGCACCAGTAAATTAAATCAGGTTTACACCATGCTCAAAACATCTTACCCTGAGATCTTACAGATCGAGTCATTCTGATACACAACCTGAACCAGGCCACTGCCCTCCTCTGTACCATGAAGATGGAAAAACTGCCTCCCTCACATGCCTTTCCTCAGGGTATTTCCAAGAGCACAGGTGGAATAAATAAATAGCTCCAAACTTGATACTTAGCATTATGACATTGAAAACGAAGTTCCAATAAATCACTCTATTAGATTCCTAAGTAAACCAACACACAAGTCTAGCCAAAAGATACAGATTTACAACCTAAGTCCTTAAAAACAAGTAAGTAAATTCCTACTACAGGAGAAGAAAATACAAATAGAATTACCCATAAGCCTACTCCCCAAGAGAACCACTGTTAATACTATGCATACTTCTGGGCATACATTTTTTTTTTTTAACAAAACACAGTTGTACATGTTATTGTATATACTTCTTTTTAACTTTTGTTTAGTAAGCATTTCCTGTTCTTTTAAAATACCTTTCTCTAAACCGGGCGGTGGTGGTGCACGCCTTTAATCCCAGCACTCGGGAGGCAGAGGCAGGCGGATCTCTGTGAGTTCGAGACCAGCCTGGTCTACAAGAGCTAGTTCCAGGACAGCTTCCAAAACCACAGAGAAACCCTGTCTTGAAAAAACAAAAAAAACAAACAAAACAAAAAAAAAAAAAACCTTTCTCTACACTACACAGTCTAGGGATTGGATGTAGGCAAGTACTAAAACATACATTTTCCCTCTGAGACAGGGTTTTTGTGTGTGTGTGAGTCACCTTGGCTGTCCTAGAATTAGCTGTGTATACTACTCTGGTCTCAAACTCACAGAGATCTGCTTGTCTCTGCCTCTCAAGTGCTGGGATTAAAGGCATGCACCACCATCAGGTCCTGGCAAGACAGAGTTTCTTTATATGTAGCCTTGGTTGTCCTGGAACTCGCTCTGTAGACTAAACTGGTCTAAAACTCAGAAATCCACCTGCCTCTACCTCTGAGTGTTGGGATTAAAGGCGGCCCTACCACCCACCACCCATTTTAAAACATGATTTTTAAAGCCTGCAAAAGAGCCAAACCTGGTGTGCAGGTCTATAATCCCAGATACTCTGAATGCTAAATCAAGAAGTCACAAATTCAAGGCCCAGTCTGGATTAAGGAACAAGTTTAAGGCCAACCTCAGAAAACTTAAAAAGAGCCCGGGTCTCATTATGTATCCTTGCCTGGCCTGGAACTCCCAGAGAATCTGCTTGATCTGGGATTAAAGGCATGCGCCACCTGGCCTGCCTCATTTTTTCTTTTCAAAGGAAAAAGGGGGAAAAAAAAGGCTTGTATAGACATGAGGGTTCTGTCCTAGTGATATGGTTGAGCAGTTAGGAGCATGTACTGCTCATGTAGAGGTCCTAAGTTAGACTTCCAGCACCAGTGTAGTGATGCTCACAGTCCCCTTTGACTCCAGAACTAGGGGAATCCAACACCTCTGGCATCTGTAGGTGTCTGCACTCACATGTATATACTCGTCATTAAAAATCATTGAAATAAATCCTAAAAGCTGGCTTTCTGGGACAAACGTCAGTGGGAGAACGTCTGCCTATTATGTTCTACACAAGACTTCGAGTCAATCTCCAATGTCAAAAATAAATTTAATTTTAAAAGCATATATAGTTTCTCATCATGAAAATCCATTTTCGCCATTTTTTTAACTGAATGCTAAGCACGTTCTGTTCTTAATACTTTGAGAATTCAGTTATATAACACACCAAGTATTTTACACATAAATTTTTGAGTTTTATTAGCAATTTTAAGTTCTTTTCTTTTTGAGACAGCGTCTCACTATGTAGCTCTGGCTATCTTGGAACTTACTATGTAGACCAGACAGATTGGCCTCAAACTCAACATAGATTCTCCTGCCTCTGTGTTCCAAGAGCTAGGGTTAAAGGCGTGTGCCACTGTGTCCAGGAACAGAAGTCAACTCCCCTTGAGTTCCCACACAAGAGGCCTTAATCATCTCTTGAAAGTAAAATTCCAGAGTAACAGGGTTATAAGTAATTGACAGCTCAGTTCACTGGGCAAAACCTTCATTAGTTCTCTGCTGAGACCCTGGGAGCCAGCCAAGGTTTTCTAAGTGTACAGCCTAACCACCAGTCAATGTCATACAGCATTAGCAATAAACACGTAGACCACTCAGGAGCCCGAGAAACTTAAAGAGAAGACAGGTTCATTCCTACCAGAGTTGCAGTGGAAGACAGGGGAGGGGTTTGAAGAATCTCATCCACAGGACTCCAGGAAATATCCAAAGTGACTGTAGTTTGTGACGGGGTGACAACATCATCCAAGTCAGTGGACTTAAAGAGTTCGTATTGGGCAAATCCTCTGGCCGTTACCTGAAGACAGGTCACAGGAAGATCATTAGCAACAACTTCATATGACCAATCCATTATCAAAACCACCTTGATGTCTGTCCCAAAATTAAAAAAAAAGCACTATACATCAAACTGTCATCCCAAATGAAAATATAAGACAATTCTTTTGTTGTTGTTATTTTTGTTTTTCAAGAAGGGGTTTCTCTGTGTAACAGCCCTAGCTGTCCTGGAACTAGCTCTTTTCTTTTCCCCATCTTTTTTTTTTTTTTTTTTTTTTTTTTTGGTTTTTCAAGACAGGGTTTCTCTGTAGCTTTGGTGCCTGTCCCAGAACTAGCTCTTGTAGACCAGGCTGGCCTCAAACTCACAGAGATTCGCCTGCCTCTGCCTCCCGAGTGCTGGGATTAAAGGCGGGCGCCACCACCGCCCAGCTAATAAGACAATTCTTTTTTTTTTTTTTTTTGGTTTTTCGAGACAGGGTTTCTCTGTAGCTTTGGAGCCTGTCCTGGAACTCCCTTTGTAGATCAGGCTGGCCTCGAACTCACAGAGATCCGCCTGCCTCTGCCTCCCGAGTGCTGGGATTAAAGGCGTGCGCCACGACCGCCCGGCTTAAGACAATTCTTTTAAGCAACAAATATTGTACATATATATTATGTGGGTATTCTGTCTAAGGAGTCTGCCAACCTTGAATCTCAAGCACACAGATTTTAGTGCTTCAGCATGATTCTAGAGCCAACTCAAAGATACCAAAGAATAACTGTGTCCTGGCTGATATAAAAATAAATACAAATACTCTGGCACTAGAGAAACGTCTAGTCATAGTGAGAAGAAAGCTGTTATGCTAGGAAGGCAGATCAATCGAGCTCTGTGTAGGTAGATAACAAGACAAATACTCACAGCAGACAAGTGATGTCTTTTCTTGTGTGAATTTTTTAGATTTTCCAGATCTTCAGAATAATTTTTGTCAGCTACAAAACATAAAATAAAAAAAAAAGGAAAGATTTAATTCTAAATTATAAAATTATATTGGGCAGTGGTAACTCAGACCTTTAATTCCAGTACCTAAGAGGACAGCTTGGTCTATAGAGGGAGTTCCAAGAGAACCATTGTTACCTATAGTGAGATCTTGTTTCAAAACAAACAAACAAACACCTGGTGTAGGTCCTTCTGTTTGTGTGTTGCTTTCATTGGTTAATGCTTTGGGCCTGATAGGGCAGAACTTAGGTAGGCAGAGAAGACAGAACTAAAATGCTGAGAGGAAGAAAGCAGAGTAAGGGAGAAGTCATGGATTCTCCACCTAAGAGGGACGCTGGTTAGAATCTTTCCCTGGTAAGCCACTGCCACATGGCACAATACAGATTAATAGAAATGGGTTAAATCAAGATGTGAGAGTTAGCCAATAAGAGGCTAGAGATAATTGTTGTAATAGGAGCGGCGGGGCTGCATCCCCAGCACCCTGGCCGCCTGGCTAGCTTATGCTCCAAAATAACAACACACAAACTGTATTCAATTAAACACTGCTTGGCCCATTTCTATCTAGCCTCTTCTAGGCTAATTCTCACATATTAATTTAGCCCATTTCTAATCATCTGTGTAGCACCGGTCTTACCGGGAAGATTCTAGCCTACGTCCATCCTGGGTCGGAGCTGAATCATGTCTGCCCCGGAGCTGGGAGCATGGTGTCTCTGCTCCAGAGAGCAGAGCTGTCGAGTCTGAGCTCACTTCCTCTTCCTCCCAGCATTCTGTTCTGTTTACTCCTCCCACCTATGTTTTAACCTATGAGGGCCAAGCAGTTTCTTTATTGCTTAACCAATGAAATCAACAGATTGATATATGACACTCCCACATCAGATAATGGGCCAAGCAGTGATTTAATTAATACAATCTGTGTGGTTATTTTGGTGCTAAGCTAGCCAGGCAGCCGGGACAAACAAGCTGCTCCTCCCCTTGCAACAAACACTCAAACCCAAAACAAAATGTTAAATAGAGAAAGAAAGGGGAGTTGGTTGGGTGAGTGGCAGGGGAGGGGGAAGGTCTGTTCTGGGAGGAGTTGGGGGAGGTGAAACTATTATAAGAATATATTACATGCGCTGCGGTGGTGGCGCACGCCTTTAATCCCAGCACTCGGGAGGCAGAGGCAGGTGGATCTCTGGGAGTTTGAGGCCAGCCTGGTCTACAAGAGCTAGTACCAGGACAGGCACCAAAGCTACAGAGAAACCCTGTCTCGAAAAACCAAAAAAAAAAAAAAAAAAAAGAATATATTACATGAAAATATTTTTATTAAAAAAATGGAATTAACTGGGCATGGTAACACATGTCTTAAATCCTAGCACTCAAGAGACAGACTCAAATAAGCAGTTAAGAACAGTGGCTGTTCTTCCAGAAGACATAGGTTCAATTCCCAGCACCCACATGGCAGCTTATAATTGCCTATAACTCTAGTTCCAGGGGATCTGACACCTTCAGACAGACAGACATGCAGGCCAAAAATGAAAGCACATTAATTAAAAACAAGTATAAAAAAGAAACAGGCAGGTGGATCCCTGTTAGTTCCAACACGTTAGTCTATGTACTAAGTTCAGGCCCACCAGGGCTACACAGTAAGACCTTGTCTCAAAAAAGAAAAGAATAGGGGCTGGTGAGATGGTTTAGTGGTTAAGAGCACTGGCTGTTCTTCCAGAGGACCTGATTTCAATTCCCAGCACCCACGTGGCAGCTCACAGCTGTCTGTAGTTCCAGTTTCAGGGGATTTGATACCTTCATGCACATAAAATAAAGTTAAATAATTTTTTTAAAAAAAGAATATATTTAAAGTCCAATATGGAAACTCACATCTAGAATCTTAGCTACTCTGGAGGCTGAGCAGAAGGATATTGAATTTGAACTCAGACTATATTGTAAGCAATAAACAAACAACAATATATAAGCAATAAAATATATAATATAGATTTATAGAATATAAAATATATAACATAATAAAATATATAATATATAAGCAATAAACAAACAACAAATGTGCACACTCACAAAAATAAATGGAAAATAAATAGCCAGGCACACTGGCATGGACTTGTAATTTCAACTGGAGGGTGAGCCGGGCGGTGGTGGCGCACACCTTTAATCCCAGCACTCAAGAGGCAGAGAACTCTGTGAGTTCGAGGCCAGCCTGGTCTACAAGAGCTAGTTCCAGGACAGGCACCAAAGCTACAGAGAAACCCTGTCTCAGAAAAAAAAAAAAAAAAAACAATTGGAGGGTGAAGCGGGAGTCTCACTGAGTCCACAAGTTTAAGACTAGCCTGCAAAGAACTCAAATTAAAAAAAAAAAACACACACACACCAAACACAAAACAAAAATAGTCTGGGTGGTGGTATTCAGATAGAATTCCAGAAGTTAAAGCAGAAAATATTAAGTTCAAGGCCAACCGTCACTCAATCCACCCCTTCCAAAAAGGCAAAAATAGGATTATATTCTAGTTATACTCTGGTTTTTAATCTTGTACAGTAAAAAAAAAAAAAAGTACAAATTAAATTAAACCTAAACAAAGCATCAGAACATGTCGAGACATTCAGGAGTTCTGACCTCCTCCCTGATGATAAGCACAAATTCAATGCTCCACGTTACACTTCCCTCCTACATGGAAGCTCAGGAATACCACGAAACAACTACGCAAATAAACATACCGAGACTGAGCACTCACCTTTACAAGTGACCACATATAAGACAACTCCTGTAATGATGTCATTTGCTGTCATGAGCTCAGCTCCTAGCCAACAGGTACCTTCAGGATCTGAACTGTCACATCTCACCCAAAGAGGAGGAAGGGCAGTAACTGGCTGCTTAATCTTCAAATGGGTCATATTAGGATTGTGAGCCATGGTGTAAAGCCCAATTAGCTGCCTTGAAAACAACGGATAGGAGAACCAATTATAAAATACCAATCACATGTTATCTTTGAAGCTGAAAGTGTGGCCCAGTGGTAGAGCACAAGCTCAGCACCACCCCATGCTCTACTTTTCTATTTTTTAATTTAAAAAAGGTAAGTGAAAGGTCTCATAGTCAGCAATCTAGAAATGAAGTGAAAAAAATGGATGAAGGCACAGAGGCGCGGCGGCGGCGGCGGCGCCAGACGCACAGAGGCGCAGCAGCTGCGGCGGCAAGGTGGCGGCACCAGACGCGGCGGAGCGGCGGCCAGACCCAAGCGGCTGGGACAGGCGTGCAATAAGGAGAGCAGATCGCCCTACTACAATTGAATCAAAGAGGTAGGCCTTTGGTTGGCCAGGTCACTGGCACAAGGGGAGCCTGGTCCTGTCCTGAAGATCCTTCGGAGGGGTGAGAGGGTTCTTGGCCTGCAGCAGGAACCACGAAAGAGAGTGAGGGCATTTTGTAAGCGGAGCCCTTGGCCAGCAGGGAAACCTGATCCGGTTTCTAAAGGACCCATTGGATAGGATCAATAGGAGGAGATGGGCAGGCGCCAAGGCAAGAACTCACCCAATAATCCGAAAAACAACATGAAAACATCAGAACCCAATGATCTTACAACAGAAGTATTTGAACAACCTAACACAGAAGAAGTGGAAAAAATCGACTTTATGAAGATAATAGAGTCCCTTAAACAACATGTAAAAAATGCCCTTATAGAAATGGATGAGAAGTATAACAAAAAGTTTGAAGAAATGAGTAAATACGTACATGATACCCTGGGAAACCAAGAAAAAACCATCAAACAGGTAATGGAAACAGTTCAAGAATTGAAAACTGAAATGAAGGCAAAGAAGAAAATACAAACTGAGGACCAGCTGGATATGGAAAATCTAGGCCAACGAGCAGAGTCTACAGAAACAAGCATAATCAATAGAATACAAGAGCTAGAAGAAAGACTCTCAGATGCTGAGGACACCATAGAGAAAATAAACGAACAGATCAAAGAAAACAGCAAAGCCAACAAATTCTCAACACAAAACATTCAGGAACTATGGGACACAATAAAAAAACCAAACCTAAGAATAATAGGAATAGAAGAAGGAGAAGAGTCACAGCTCAAAGGCTCAGAAAATATTTTCAACAAAATTATGGAAGAAAACTTTCCCAACTTAAAGAAAGATATTCATTTAAATATTCAAGAAGCATACAGAACACCAAACAGACTGGATCAAAGAAAAACATCTCCTCGCCATATAATAATCAAAACACAAAATATACAGGTTAAAGAAAGAATATTAAGAGCTGCAAAAGAAAAAGGGCAAGTAACTTATAAAGGTAAACCGATCAGACTTACACCTGACTTCTCGATGGAAACTATGAAAGCCAGAAGGTCCTGGATAGAGGTTCTGCAGAAGCTAAGAGACCATGGATGCAAACCCAAACTACTATACCCAGCCAAGCTATCGTTCACTATCAACGGAGAAAACAAGACATTCCAGGATAAGAACAAATTTAAACAATACGTAGCCACAAATCCAGCCCTACAGAAAGTAATAGAAGGAAAATCGCAACCCAAGGAATCCAACACTGCCAACACTGCCTACAATAACCCAGGCATCTAATGACCCTTCACGAGCACATCTCAAAGAAAGGAGACACACAATCTCTACTACCAAAAGCAATAAGAATAACCGGAGTAAACAACCACTGGTCATTAATATCACTTAATATTAATGGGCTCAATTCACCTATAAAAAGGCACAGGCTAAAAGATTGGATACGAAAACAGGATCCAACATTCTGCTGTTTGCAAGAAACACATCTCAACCACAAAGACAGGCACCTACTCAGAGTAAAGGGTTGGGAAAAGGTGTTTCAAGCAAATGGTCCTAAGAAAAAAGCAGGTGTGGCCATACTAATTTCTAACAAAACTGACTTCAAACTAAAATCAATCAGAAGAGACCGAGACGGTCACTTTATACTCATAACAGGAACAATTCATCAGGAGGACGTCTCAATCCTGAATATATACGCCCCCAATATAAAAGCACCTACTTATGTAAAAGAAATATTACTAGAACTCAAGGCAGACATCAAACCACACACACTAGTAGTAGGAGACTTCAACACACCTCTCTCTCCAAGGGACAGGTCAATCAGACAGAAACCTAATAGAGAATTAAGAGAATTATTGGAGGTAATGAAGCAAATGGACTTAACAGACATCTATAGAACATTCCACCCAAATAGGAAAGAATATACCTTCTTCTCTGCAGCTCATGGAACCTTCTCAAAAATTGACCACATACTCGGAAACAAAGGAAACCTCCACAGATACAAAAAAATATCAGTGTCCACCTGTGTCTTATCAGATCATCACGGATTAAAGTTAGAAGGCAACAACCACGCTGCCCCCAAAAAACCGACAAACTCATGGAAACTGAACAGTCAACTACTGAACCACACCTGGGTCAAGGAAGAAATCAAGAAAGAAATTAAAGTCTTCCTTGAATTTAATGAAAATAAAGGGACAACATACTCAAACCTATGGGACACAATGAAAGCAGTGCTAAGAGGAAAGTTCATAGCACTAAGTGCCCACTTAAAGAAAACGGAGAATGCATACATTGGGGACTTAAAAACACACCTGAAAGCTCTAGAAAAAAAAGAAGCAGACGCGCCCAGGAGAAGTAGAAGACTGGAAATAATAAAACTGAGGGCTGAAATCAACAAAATAGAAACACAGAAAACAGTCCAAAGAATCAATGAAACAAAAAGCTGGTTCTTGGAGAAAATCAACAAGATCGACAAACCCCTATCCAAACTAATTAAACGACAGAGAGAGAACACGCAAATAAATAAGATCAGAAATGAAAAGGGGGACATAACCACAGACACAGAGGAAATTCAGAGAATCATTAGATCTTACTACAAAAGCCTGTATGCCACAAAACTGGAAAATACAAAAGAAATGGACATTTTTTTAAATAAGTATCATATACCAAAGCTAAACCAAGACCAGGTGAATGATCTAAATAGACCGGTTTCTCGCGAAGAATTAGAAATGGTTATCAAAAATCTCCCTTCGAAAAAAAGCCCAGGACCAGATGGTTTCAATGCAGAATTCTACCAGAACTTCCAAGAAGAATTAATACCTATACTCCTTAAGGTATTTCACAATATAGAATCAGAAGAGTCATTGCCAAATTCCTTTTATGAAGCTACAGTTACCCTGATACCAAAACCACAAAAAGACCCAACCAAGAAAGAGAATTACAGACCGATCTCACTCATGAACATCGACGCAAAAATCTTCAATAAAATACTGGCAAACCGAATCCAAGAACACATAAGAAAAATTATCCATTATGATCAAGTAGGCTTCATCCCAGAGATGCAGGGCTGGTTCAACATACGCAAATCTATCAATGTAATCCACCATATAAATAAACTGAAAGAAAAAAACCATATGATCATTTCACTAGATGCGGAAAAAGCATTCGACAAAATTCAACACCCCTTTATGATAAAGGTCTTGGAGAGAATAGGGATACAAGGGTCCTACCTAAATATAATAAAAGCTATTTACAGCAAGCCAACAGCTAACATTAAATTAAACGGAGAAAAACTCAAAGCCATCCCACTAAAATCAGGAACACGACAAGGATGTCCACTCTCGCCATACCTCTTCAATATAGTGCTTGAAATTTTAGCAATAGCAATAAGACAACATAAGGAGATCAAGGGGATTCGTATTGGAAAGGAAGAAGTTAAGCTTTCGTTATTTGCAGATGATATGATAGTGTACATAAGCGACCCCAAAAATTCTACCAAAGAACTCCTACAGCTGATAAACAGCTTTAGTAACGTGGCAGGATACAAGATCAACTCCAAAAAATCAGTTGCCTTCCTATACACCAAGGATAAGGAAGCAGAGAGGGAAATCAGAGAAGCATCACCTTTCACGATAGCCACAAATAGCATAAAATACCTTGGGGTAACCCTGACCAAGGAAGTGAAAGATCTACTTGACAAGAACTATAAGTCTTTGAAGAAAGAAATTGAAGAAGACACCAGAAAATGGAAAGACCTCCCTTGCTCTTGGATTGGGAGGACCAACATAGTAAAAATGGCAATTCTACCAAAAGCAATCTATAGATTCAATGCAATCCCCATCAAAATCCCATCAAAATTCTTCAAAGATCTGGAGAAGACAATAATCAACTTTATATGGAAAAACAAAAAACCCAGGATAGCCAAAACAATCTTATACAATAAAGGTTTGTCTGGAGGCATTACCATCCCTGACTTCAAACTCTATTACAGAGCTACAGTATTGAAAACAGCTTGGTATTGGCATAAAAACAGAGAAGTCGACCAATGGAATCGAATAGAAGACCCTGACATTAACCCACAAACCTATGAACACCTGATCTTCGATAAAGGAGCTAAAAGTATACAATGGAAAAAAGAGAGCATCTTCAACAAATGGTGCTGGCAAAACTGGATGTCAATCTGTAGAAGAATGAAAATTGATCCATATCTATCACCATGCACAAAACTCAAATCCAAATGGATTAAAGACCTCAATATCAGTCCGAACACACTGAACCTGATAGAAGAGAAAGTGGGAAGTACTCTACAGCACATGGGCACAGGAGACCACTTCCTATGTATAACCCCAGCAGCACAGACACTAAGGGCATCATTGAATAAATGGGACTTCCTGAGGCTGAGAAGCTTCTGTAAAGCAAAGGACACTGTCACTAAGACAAAAAGACAACCCACTGACTGGGAGAAGATCTTCACCAACCCTGCAACTGACAAAGGTTTGATCTCCAAAATATATAAAGAACTCAAGAAACTAGACCGTAAAAGGCTAATCAACCCAATTATAAAATGGGGCACTGATCTGAACAGAGAATTCTCAACAGAAGAACTTCAAATGGCCAAAAGACACTTAAGGTCATGCTCAACTTCCTTAGCGATCAGGGAAATGCAAATCAAGACAACTTTAAGATACCACCTTACACCTGTCAGAATGGCTAAAATAAAAAACACCAATGATAGCCTTTGCTGGAGAGGTTGTGGAGAAAGGGGTACACTCAACCATTGCTGGTGGGAATGCAAACTTGTGCAACCACTCTGGAAAGCAGTGTTTCGGTTTCTCAGGAAATTCGGGATCAACCTACCCCTGGATCCAGCAATACCACTCTTGGGAATATACCCAAGAGAGGCCCTATCATACAACAAAAGTATATGCTCAACTATGTTCATGGCAGCATTGTTTGTAATAGCCAGAACCTGGAAACAACCTAGATGCCCTTCAACGGAAGAATGGATGAAGAAAGTATGGAATATATACATATTAGAGTATTACTCAGCAGTAAAAAACAAGGACTTCTTGAATTTTGCATACAAATGGATGGAAATAGAAAACACTATCCTGAGTGAGGTAAGCCAGACCCAAAAAGAGGAACATGGGATGTACTCACTCATATTTGGTTTCTAGCCATAAATAAAGGACATTGAGCCTATAATTCATGTTCCTAGAGAAGCTAAATAAGGTGAATCCAAAGACAAACACATAGGCATCCTCAGGAATATTAACCTTCATCAGGCGATGAAAGGAGACAGAGACAGAGACCCACACGGGAGCACCGGACAGAAATCTCAAGGTCCAAATCAGGAGCAGAAGGAGACGGAGCACGAGCAAGGAACTCAGGACCACGAGGGGTGCACCCACACACTGAGACAATGGGGATGTTCTATTGGGATCTCACCAAGGCCAGCTGGCCTAGGTCTAAAAAAGCATGGGATAAATCCGGACTAGCTGAACATAGCGGACAATGAGGAATACTGAGAATTCAAGAACAATTGCAGTGGGTTTTTGATCCTACTGCACGTACTGGCTTTGTGGGAGCCTAGGCAGTTTGAATGCTCACCTTACGAGACCTGGATAGAGGTGGGAAGTCCTTGGGCTTCCCACAGGTCAGGGAACCCTGATTGCTCTTCGAGCAGATGAGGGGGGGGGACTTGATTGGGGGAGGGGGAGGGAAATGGGAAGCGGTTGTGGGGACGAGGCAGAAATCCTTAATAAATAAACAAATTTAAAAAAAAAATATAAAAAAAAAATGGATGAATACATGTATACTTACATACTTCAGCAAGAATAGGGTATACTACATACTCTAGTAGTTCTAAGTCTAGAGAGATGGCTCAAAAGTTAAAAACGTACTGCTCTTGCAAAGGACCAGAGTCCAGCTCCCAGCACCCACATTCAGTGGCTTACATTTGCCTGTAAATCCAGCACCAGGGGGATTCAATATGACTGGCATCTGCAGAGACCGAAAACACACATAGCCTACTCTTATCAACACACACGCCTGCATAATTAAAAATAAAATAATTTTAAAGTTATGTACATTGGGCATAAAAATATATTAATACATAATTCTGACAAGATAACAGTACATATTATCATGGTATATAACAGTTATATAGTATACATATATATGTACCATATACTGCTTTGTATATATAAATATGTATTGGTTGAACAAGAAAAATGACAGCGAGGTGGTGGTGGCACAAGCCCTTAATCCCAGCACTCGGGAGGCAGAAGCAGGCAGATCTTTTTGAGTTTGAGGCCAGTCTGGTCTACAGAGCAACTTCTAGGACAGGCTCCAAAGCTAGAGAAACCGTGTATAAAAAAAAAAGGGGAGGGGGGTGCTGGAGAAGTGGCTCAGAGGTTAAGAGCATTGACTGTTCTTCCAGAGGTCCTGAGTTCAATTCCCCGCAACCACATGGTGGCTCACAATCCATCTATAATGAGATCTGGTGCCCTCTTCTGGTGTGCAGGCATACATGCAGGCAGAACACTATATACATAAAAAATAAATAAATCTTTAAAAAAAGAAAAAGAAGAGAAAAATGATAATGTAGACATATCAAAACATGAACAACTGGCAAATGTGCATTAAGGTATAGAGAAGTCTCTATACCACTCAAAATTAAAAGTCAACTAAAAATAAAGTTTAAACTTCTATTTTTCAAGAGAAAGAAACAATTTACTATTAGATATTCAAAAAGGAAATTTCTAAGGTATTGGACTTTAAGAAGTAAGCACAAAAATCAGTATGAAATACAGTAGTATGAAAGGCACAAAGAAATAGAAAACCAAGAAACGATAGGGCAGGAGATGGCTCAGTTGATAGACGTGCTTGCCTTGCAAACACAAGAACCCGAGTTCCATCTCCAGAACTCATGTTAAACACACGTACACACACATGGGACTAGAAAGCTTATGGGTTAAGAGCACTTGTTGCTCTGCCAGAGGATCTGAGTTTGATTCCCAGCTGTCATGTCCTATAGTTCATAACTGCTTTTAATTCCAGCTCCAGGGACATCTGACTACCCACATGCATGTGGCATATACATACATATATGGTGTGTGTGTGTGTGTGTGTGTATAAAATATAAATAGAAACAAAAGTTGGGTGTGGGTGATTTGTGCACTTATTAATCCCAGCACTGGAGAGGGGAAAAACAGGAGGATCCTGGAAACAGGTCAGTCCTCCTAGCCGATTTGTCAAATTCTAGGCCATAAAAGGCCCTGGACTACATTTAAGAAACAGCACTTGAAGTTGTTGTCTGGCCTGCATATCCATGGGTATTTCTTCCCACATGAACACACACACACTCACAAGTAACCCAACATATTAGCAGAAGAAAACAAAATAATGTTTAAGACCTAGGGAACAGAGAAAACAGGTCGTGTTATGACTATAGGCCAAAAAGTCGGGGAAAAAAACTTACTAACCAGCATAAAAAGTTTATAAACTTTTTCTTTCTTTTCCTCCCCCCCCCCCCCCCCCCGCCTATTTTTCCAGACAGGGTTTGTTTCTCTGTGTAATCTTGGCTATCCTGGAACTCTATAAACCAGGCTTGCCTCAAACTCACTTTGCCTCTGCCTCCCAGGTGCTAGGATTAAAGGTGTGAGGTTATACACTTCTATGTGTGTGGGGGGGTAAAAACTAGCATAAAGACATATTATTATGGTGATCAGTTCCAGCACTGCTCCTAAGTCCAGATTCTTAGGACTCTATCCTCTTGAAGGCAAAGACTTCGGTTTGCAGGTGGCAAGGGGCTGGCACAACATATGTACACAGCAGGAAAGCAAGAAAGAAAACATAAAAGGTAAACAAGCATAATCTGGAAGCACACTGATTTCTTAGACATTATAATTCATGCTGTGTAGGACAGGTGCCCAGGATATACCCAGAACTATATATTGTGACACCTAAAAACATTCCTGAATAGTTTGAATGCCAACTTAGTAGCACCCCCTGATGGAAAACCTCTGGAGTTAGAAAAATGAAGGCTCCTGTGCATCAAGCATGGATTTAACCATGAACGCAATGAAGAACCTATACAGGACTTTTAAGTATTGAAGCAATACAACCATGCTTTAAAAAAAAAAAATCATCCAATTTTAAAAAGATAACTCTGGTATTAGGGAAAAAGAGAAACTGGGCTAGATTCAAAGCAAACAATTAGGAAGCCACAGAAATAGACTAGCAGAGTGGGATGGAAAAGGGGAAGGTGAATGCAGTCTTATTACTTTATGTATTATGTATACAATATTCTGTCTGTGTACGCCTGCAGGCCAGAAGAGGACACCAGACCTCATTACAGATGGTTGTGAGCCACCATGTGGTTGCCGGGAATTGAACTCAGGACCTCTGGAAGAGCAGGCAATGCTCTTAACCACTAAGCCATCTCTCCAGCCCCTAGGTGCAGTTTTTCAATGTCTGTAAGAATTTTTTTTTTCCTTTTGAGTGAGGGTCTCATGTAGCCAAGTCTGCTGAAAACTTATTTAGTGGTAAAGGATGACCTTGAACTTCTCACCCTCCTCCTTCCGTCTCCCAAGTGCTAGAATTAAAGGTGTGTGTCACCATTTGTGGTTTTATCCAATGCTGGGGCTCAAATCTAGGGCTCCACGTATGCTAATCAAATAGTCTACACACAGAGCTACCTCCTCAGCCCCCAACAATGTTTCAATTTAAATCCTCTCTTCTATTTCTAAGACAAACAAAAAACTTACCTTGCTCTCCCAACTGGCAAGGCCAGTGGCCTAACACTTTCACCAGTAGAGAAATCAGAAATAGCAGTTTCTTCAGCCTGTGGTTCTTCAACATGACTTGTTTCTTCCTTCTCTAAAAGCTTTAAAAAATGTTATAATTTAATCAGATCCAAGAATCAATTCTTTTCTGTGCTAGGAAATAACTACACAGGATGCTGAAGAGATGGTTCAGTATTTAAGAGCATTGACACTGGAGTTATACCCAGTTGTGAGCTACCATGTGAATGCTGCAAACCAAACCCAGTTCCTCCTAATGACTGAGCCATCTCTCCAGCTCCCAAAGATATTGATTGTAGTTGCTACTTGTAAAGGAAGCACCTGATGACATTAGAAAAATGCTCTAACATGCACAGTATGATAAGCTAAATGTAAAACACCACGAGAGACCCCCAGATATTTAGATATTTTCATTTCCTAACTGGAACAAACTACTTGTGGGATATGTGCTTAGAGTACACAGCCCTCAATTTTACCTTTTATTTATTTATTTGGACTCAAGGTCCACATGCTGGGATCACAGGTATATAGTACCACACCCAGCCATAGGCCTCATTTTTTTCTGTTTGTTTTTCAAGACAGGGTTAGGGTTTCTCTTTGTAGCTCTGGCTGTCCTGAAACTCACTTTGCAGATCAGGCTGGCCTCAAACTCAGAGATTCACCAACCTCTGACTCCTGTTGGGGTTAGAAGTGTGCATAACACCACTGCCTGACTTAGCCCTCACTTTTTTTTACCTGGCTGTCCTGAACTCTATTTGTAGACCAGGCCAGCTTTGAACTCTGAGATTCTCCTGCCTCTGTCTCCCGAATGCTGGGATTAAAGGCGTGCACCACAACCACCTGGTTTTAGGTCTCACTTTTTAAAAAATTTGTATTTTATGTATATTGGTGTTTCGCCCACATGTATGTCTCTGTGAGGGTATACAATCCCCTGAAACAGGAGCCACAGACAATTGTGAGCTGCCACATGGGTGCTGGGATTTGGACCTGGGTCCTCCAGAAGAGTAGCTAGTAAACACTAAGCCTCTCCAGACCCTAGCCTTCACTTTTTTGGGGGGGAAGTGAGGAGGGTGTTTCAAGACAGGGCTTCTCTGTACAGTCCTGGCTGTCCCTGGAGTTCTCTTTGTTGACCAGGCCAGCCTTAAACTCACTGAGATCTGCCCGCCTCTGCTTCCAAAGTGCTGGGATTAAAGACGTGTACCACCACCAACTGGCCGCTAGCCCTCACTTTTTACACTTATTGTTTTTAGGACTGTCAGTTCTCACTAGTGTTACAGGATCTAATAGCTATGTCTGTACGGTGGTTACATAACTTTGGTTTTGACAACAATGACAGTAAGAGTATTTCCTGAGTATTAGTGTATTTTAGGCACCATTTTAATTTCCCCATTATTATCCATAAAAATCATGAGCTAGACACTATTAGTATCATTGTTTTATAGATGGAAAAAAACTGAAACTAACAAAAAACTAAATCAATTGCCAGAACCACATAGCTACTAAATGGGGGCGGGGAGATTAACATTTGACCTAGATGTGCACATACACAAAAAAACAATACAGGAGTAATTATAGCAGTTCTTAGTTCATGTATGGATGCTTTGCCAGCATGTATGTCTATGCATGAAGGGTGCACAGTGCCCATGATTGCCAAAAGAGGGAGCCAGATCTCCTGGAACTAGGGTTATGGAAGGTTGTGAGCTGCCATGTGGATGCTGGTATCTGAACCTAGGTCCTTTGCAAAAACAGCCAGTACTCTTAACTGGCTATCGACTTTTTGCCGTCTGAAGGCATCATGGGTCACCCGCAGCTCTACTGAGTCATCCGCAGAAGTTCAGCCAGGGTTCTTGCTCCTGTCACATCTGCTCTAACCACCATGGTCTGATCTGGAAATAAGGGCTGAACATGTGTCTCAGTGTTTCCTTCAGTACATGAAGGACATAAGCTTTATTAAGTTGTACTAAGTGACCTTGAATGGATTTTTCAAGACTGTCTACCCAGTGAAACAGATCATGCTAGCCTTTGTATGAATAAAAAAAAAAGTAAAGACCTTCAAAAAATAAATAAACAAAAAAGCACAACTGAGCTATCTCTCTGGCTCTTACAGTAGTTCCATAAATAAAAGCCAAAGACCAAGACCAACCCAAATGCCCTTCAAGCATCAAACTGTGGCATATCCATACCATGGAATACACATAGCAGTAACTTACAAAAGGGATTATTAATGTGTTCAATGGGCTTGAATGATTAATTGACAGTTTTATTTGTTCTTTGTTTCGTTTGTTTCTGAGATGAAGGGGAGGTCTCACTATGTAGCCCTGGCTGTCCTGGAATTAATTATGTAGCCCTGGCTGTCCTGGAATTAATTATGTAGACTGGGCCGGCCTTGAATATTAAGAGATTCACCTGTCTTTGCTTTCCAGAGTGCTGGGATTAAAGGCATTTGCCACCGTGCCTAGTTTTGTTTTTTCTTAATGAATCTATTCTAAAAGTATAATTATGTATTTATCTGTGGTTGGCATTATATTTCCAGTAGAGAGCACCATGCTTCTCATAAAAGAATTAGTGTCCACTTTCATTAATGCTGATGGGAAAACATGTAATATGAGAGCATTCCCAAAGAAACAAATGTGGCTTCTAAGCATGAACGGCAAAGCCCAATACTTACCGCTTTTTCCACAAGAAACACCAATCTGTTCTCATTTAGAAGAGTTTTCAGAAGATCTGGCTGGGCTTTGCTGATCAGCTGCACTTGCACATCAGCCTGTTAAAAACAGATTGCAGTGTTTTGTGTGATTTAAGTGCTACAGACCAACTGCATGCAAATTACTGAAAAAGAAACATGTTTTCAAAAGTTTTCCTTATTTTGTCAAGTTGTTTCTCATTTTTAGAAAATCTAGTTTATGGATTGGGGGATCTGTTGCTCAAGCGGGGGGGGGGGGGAGGGGGCTCAGCTCACTCCTAAGTACCCATGTAAAGATGAGCACAAGGCCATGCATCTATAACCCCAGCGTTCGGGAGGCAGAGACGGGAGAACCTCTGGGACTTGTTGGCCCATCAGTATAGTCAAGTAAGGAGTTCTAGATCAAGTGGGAGACCATGTCACAAAATAATTAAGGGGGACAGCAACTGAGAAGGACACCCGACATTGACCTCTGGCCTTGACCTGTACCCAGAGGCACACGTGTATGCACATACACAAGAAAATCCAGCTTTGGGCTGGAGAGATAGCTCAGCGGTTAAGAGCATTGCCTGCTCTTCCAAAGGTCCTGAGTTCAGTTCCCAGCAACCACATGGTGGCTCACAACCATCTGTAATGAGATCCAGTGCCCTCTTCTGGCCTGCAGACATACAGACAGAATACTATATACATAATAAATAAATAAATATTTAAAAAAAAAAAAAAGAAAATCCAGCTTTTATCTGCCACCTGTCCACATTTCAAAGCTCACCTGAAGATGTGCTGCCCTGAAAAGCCCTCTTTGCTACACAGTGGGAACCTGCCTCAAACAGACAAAAAGAGAAAGAAAGAACCAAAGCCAAGAAACCATGTATTTTATTTAGTGACGTTCTGGAAACGGCAAAACTATGGAGACAGAAAACAAATTAGCAGCGGCAGGTACTAGGGACATATGAAAATGCTCATACAGAGACATGAGCACGTTTAGACAGGAAATAGTCTACATTTTGATAACGGGAGTAGCTGCACTTTTGAAGCTATTTGTCAAAATTCATAGAATTATCTCCTAAAAGGGTAAAGTTTAGCATATATAAATTAATTTTTTTAAAAAAAAAACTTTGATTTTAGAATGATTATGTTTAAAATCAAATAAATTGCTCATACCTCATAGACGAATGGGTCTTTACAGACTCCTTTCTTTTCTTCATTAAGTTCCCTGAAACACAAAAGAGAGATCTGGAGGATCAGCCTTATTATTTAAACTCAGAAATTAGCTGGTGCATTATTTACGCATCAGTGGAAAAGCTTAGTCCTTACACAGCTCTGAGGATAGCTGCAGAAGGGGAAACAATTAGGTTAAGGAAAGGTAAAGGAAGGTTAGGTAAGGTGGGGCATGCCTTTAATCACAGCAAAGTTCCAGGCCAGCCAGGGACACATAGCGAGATTGTATTGGAACAAAGTTTTTTGTTTGTTTGTTCTGGTTTTTTTTTTGGGGGGGGGTTGTGTGTAGGCATGGGTAAGGTGGCTAGAGAGATAGCTAAGGAGTTAAACACTATTGCTCCTGCAGAGGACCTGGGTTCAGATCCAAGCAACCAAATGATGGCTCACAACCTATCTGTAACTCCAGTTCCACGGGGTCTGACACCCTTTTCTGCCCTCTTCAGGCACCAGGCACGAACCAGTGCACATACTTACATGCAGACAAAGCATACACATAAAATAAGTAAATCTAAAGAAATTTTTGAGTGCTGGGCGGTGGAGGTGTACACCTTTAATTCCAGCAGTCAGGAGGCAGAAACAGGTGGCTCTCTGTGAGTTCAAGGTCAGTCTGGGGGAATTCCAGGATAAGCTGCAAGGCTATAGAAAAACCATGTTTTGAAAAACCAAAGGAAAAAAAAAAAACAGAAATAAATTTTGATTATGTGTGTATGTAAGGGGAATGGGTAATGCATGTATGAGCGCAGGTGCCCAAGATGGCATTGCCCTGGCACTGGAGTTACAGGTAACTGTGAGCTGCTTGTTATGGACACTGGAAACCAAACTCCGGTCCTCTGGAAGACTCGTAAGTGCTCTTAGCCTCTGAGGCATCCCAATTTTTTTTTTAAATATTTATTTATTATGTATACAATATTCTGTCTGTGTGTATCCCTGCAGGCCAGAAGAGGGCACCAGAGCCCATTACAGATGGTTGTGAGCCATCATGTGGTTGCTGGGAATTGAACTCAGGACCTTTGGAAGAGCAGGCAATGCTCTTAACCTCTGAGCCATCTCTCCAGCCCCCCAAATTTTTTTAAAAAGGGTGGGGGCTTGAGGGATAGCTTAGAGGTTAAGAGCACTGGTTGTTCTTCCAGAAGTCCTGAGTTCAATTCCCAGCAATCACACGTTGGCTCACAACCATTTACAATAGGATCTGACGCCCTATTCTGTCATTCAGGCATATATGCAAATAGAGCACTCATACGCACAAATAAATAAATCTTTGAAAATAAAAGATTCGCTATTTTAATTATTTAGTGGGTGTGTCCATGCATGTAACTGCAGAGCCTGGAAGAAGGCACTGGTCCCTCCCATCAGTTGAGTTGCAGGCAGCTGTGAGGCACCATAAGTGGTGTCTGAACTAACTGCTCAGCCCTGTTTCATAAAATATTTAATAGTCATATCAAAGCACATAAATTATAAACCACTAGCAGACTCAAATGAAATACCAAATGCATACCCAGCCTGATCGACAGAGAAAAGAAGCTGTAGTTACTGAAAAGCCTAACAGTTATCTCAGGATATAATCTGTAGCTTTTGATCTGATACTTGACCTAACTGATCTAGGAACACAAAAACAGTCCTGATAGACTAATTTTTGTTATATTGCAAAAGACTTTAATTTTTTATTTTATTTATTTATTTATTTGATTTTTCGAGACAGGGTTTCTGTGTAGCTTTAGAGCCTGTCCTGGAACTAGCTATTGTAGACCAGGCTGGCCTCGAACTCACAGAGATCCACCTGCCTCTGCCTCCTGAGTTCTGAGATTAAAGGTGTGCACCACCACTCCCGGCGTTATTTTTTATTTTTATATATTTATTTATTTTTCGAGACAGGATTTCTTTGTGTAAGTCTTTTTTTTTTTAAAGATTTATTTATTTATTATGTATATAACATTCTGCCTCCATGTATGCCCGCATGCCAGAGGAGGGCGCCAGATCTCATTACAGATGGTTGTGAGCCACCATGTGGTTGCTGGGAATTGAATTCAGGACTTCTGGAAGAGCAGCCAGTGCTCTTAACCACTGAGCCATCTCTCCAGCCCCAAGTCTTTTTTTTTTTTTAAATATTTATTTATTATGTATACAATATTCTGTGTGTATGCCTGCAGGCCAGAAGAGGGCAGCAGACCCCATTACAGATAGTTGTGAGCCACCATGTGGTTGCTGGGAATTGAACTCAGGACCTTTGGAAGAGCAGGCAATGCTCTTTAACCTCTGAGCCATCTCTCCAGCCCCTCTTTGTGTAAGTCTTGACTGTCCTGGAACTAGTTCTGTAGACCAGGCTGGCCTCTGCCTCCCAAGTACTGGGATGAAAGGCATGTGCAATCACCAACGGCTGTTTTTGTTTCTTATTATAGTTATTTATACATGTGCATGTGTATGTGAGTGTGTGTGGGGGTGTGCTTGCTAAAGTCAGAAGACAGCTTGCGGGATATTTTCTCCTCCCACTATGTGGGTCCCATGCTAAGATGTTTGGTGGCAAGTGGCTTTACCTCTGAACCATCTCTCTGGTTCAAGATTGTGAATTTCTCTTAAAAATGGTTGTCCTTGGGGCTGGAGAGATGGCTCAGTGGTTAAGAGCATTGCCTGCTCTTCCAAAGGCCCTGAGTTCAATTCCTGGCAACCACATGGTAGCTCACAACCATCTGTAATGAGGTCTGGTGCCCTCTTCTGGCCTGCAGACATACACACATACAGAATATTAAATAAATAAATAAATAAAAATGGTTGTCCTTTACATATAATTCAATAATATTGCTTGGTCATTCAGCAACTGTTTCTCAAGCATTCTTGCTAGACACTGGGACTATCAAACAAAACCAGCTGCGACAGGAATCCAAAGAGTAAACTGTCAATTATGGGGTACCAAGAACTCTGGGAGGAAAATACTTGTGAATGACTTATAGCTTTTTAGAAACATGATAATGGCCCCACGTACAACAATGTGGGCAAGAACAAGGAGACTAGGATCAATGGTAGAACACTTGTCCAGCACCACAAACCCAACCCACCTGCAATCCTCAGCATATAAATAAAACAAGAGAGGTGGTGGGGAGGTTGGGAAAGGAGAAAAGAAGGAAGTTGGAGTCTTAGATTTAGAACTCTTGAGAATAATTCTGGAGTTAAACGCCACATTGTAAAGAAAACACCCAGGAAATAAGTAGTAAGCCAATGGATCTAGATAAATTTTCATCACTGGGGGTGATAAAACAGGCATAAAATAAACATAGAGGCTAGGGACATAACTCGGGTGTAAGAGTGCTTGCCTAGGCCAGGCGGTGGTGGCACGTGCCTTTAATCCCAGTACTCGGGGAGCAAAGGCAGGGAGATCTCTGTGAGTTCAAGGCCAGCCTGGTCTACAAAAGCTAGTTCTAGGATAGGTACCAAAGCTACATAGAGAAACCTTGTCTCGAAAACCACAAAAAGAATGCTTGCCTAACTTGTGTGAAGCCCTCCCTGGATTCTGTTCCTAGAATCTCAAAAATTGTGCATAATGGTACATGCCTATAATGACAGCACCCTGTAGATGGAGGCAGGATGAGCCAAACTCATCCTTGGCTTGGAGGCCAGCCTGGGCTACATGAGACCTTGGATTTAAAACAACAACAAAACAACTTAACGCCGTGGCAGAAATACCACAAGAGTTAAGAACAACTGAAGTTCCTGCGTGTTCACAGACACCATTAGCTTCACTAAAAACACTAGCTCTTAGCTAGGCAGTGGTGGCCACACCTTTAATCCAAGCCCTTGGGAGGCAGACAGGTAGATCTCTGATTTGGAGTCAAGCCTGGTCTACAGAGTTTCAGGACAGCCAGGGCTACACAGAAAAACACCATCTCAAACAGCAACAACAAAAACCAGTAGTTCTCCCCCTATAATGTCCAAGTATTTTACAAGTATTACTGCTTTTGTAAACAGGAAGAGGAGCAATAATGGCAGTTAAAAATTACAGCATTTACAAAGTACTGTGCTATACCCAGCCAACAATACCCTGAGCCTAGAATTTAAAAAGGTAAACTTCTGGTCTCATTTCAGACCTTAGCCAAAAATTTGGGGGGCAGAATAAATCTGTATTTTCACAATCCTCCAGGGTGATTCTGATGCAGGATCAGTTATGAGTCACTCTCCTCGATTTTGATACAGGATGAAGACTTGACAGAATCCTCTTGTAGCTATATTTCACTAAAGGAACAACGTGAATTCTGGCATGGTGGCCCAAACCCCTAATCTGACATCAGGAGGCTGGCCAGCGAATTCGAGGTGACTTTCTGTCTAGTTTAGGCTACAGTTGAGACCCCTGTCTCAAGAAAACCACGAAAACAGCGAAACAGCATGCTTTTTAAAGCCAGCCCAAGGCCAAATGTAGCTCATACGGTCATTAGAAGAAACAGGACAACTACACATTTCTTTTTCAGTAGTCAGCGAAAGCTTAAGACAGAAGGATGCCATCTACTTCTCTGTATCCAGGAAGCCTCTACTTAGAAGTGGATGCATGAGCAAGATGAGTAAATTGACTTGTCACCTTGTCCTTCTTGCTCAAGTACTGATGTTTCCTCGAGAGACTAGCAGCGACCTAGGCTTCAGCAGAGTCAAGCCCACTGCACAGCCAAGACCCGCCCTCTCCTATCCCGGATCCGGGCAAAGCAAGCAGGGCGCAAAGCCGTCAGCTGTGGCGAGAATCAGGCGGGGATATAAAGGCCGGGAGGAACAAGATGCCATTCCATTTCTCAACCACAACTCACTGGAGAAGACGAGCATAAAACTCCTCAGCCGCGCAATTCATTCGCGCCCACATCCCGCATCGACCTCGGTCCAGTCGGGAGCAGCAAAACTGAAACGCGCGCCCCGACACTGACGTCAGAGTCCATGACCCCGCCCCGCCGGAACTACTTTACAACATTAAGTTCATTCGTACTCAACGTTAAAACATTGTTTGAATTTATTAGAGCATCCTGTCACATTTACTGTTCCAATAGACTCCCATTTTTGTCAGGGAGAAAAAAGAAGATAAAATAGATGTGATTGAGGGGCGGTCAAGAAACCACATCTCGCGAGAGTTGTGTCAAGTTACGAATTATTCCGCGAAAAGGAGTCCCTCTTTTCTAACCATTCTTTTTAGTTTTAAAAAGAATAGATACAAATTTTAACACACGTAAAGTAATAATATGATCTTTTGAAATTTTTCAGTGTAGTAGCGAGATACTTTGGTTCTCCCAGTTGGTTTTGAGGCGGGGCAGGATGAGGGAGCCAAGTGGAAGGATATATGTGGCGACTAAGCGGTGAGTCCTTCCTTTTCCTGTGGGAGCTGCCGGGTTGAGAGGAGCGTGGCTCTCTCCTCTCCCCGTCATGGTGAGTGGAAGTCTACTTCGCTTGGCTTTCCCGTGGTTTCTGGGGCTTATGGGGGAGAGGTAAGGGATCGGGACATGGAATCGGCAGGAGAGGAAGAACTAGGAAGAAGACCTAACACCTTTTCTTGGCAGAGAGCTGGGTTGTGGGCGCTGTGGCAGCCATCTTAGAGCAACGTGGGAGACAGCGCAGGGTGGACGATAGAGGGACTTTTGGGATCCTCGCTTTCCGTAGTTCTAGGGGAAAAAGACTATTTTAAACCGAGCCATTTAGTGCCGGAGACACGCCCGACGGGCGGACGGCGTGGCCTTGGCACATGGTGTGCTTGCTGTTCAGTGTGTGCATGTGAATGAGTATTAATGCTTTTGAGGTTTTGTCTCTGCCTTTTTTAAATCGTTTCTAGAAAAGCAAGGTCTTAATCGCTTAAGAAGTTATGTTTTTATTTCATGTAACCTAAATGGCTTGAGCTCTGAGCTTGTTCACATACAACTGTAGTTAAATACATTACTTTTCCGCAAATGTGCCCTGTGCTATCCTTTATCCTTAATGCATGGATTAAGGTTGGTCTGACTGCCGTAAATTAGGATTTGGAGACATGGCTGAGCTTCATTTTATAATTGGCTAGATAGGTTGGCTTAGTAGTTGAGAAATTGGAGAGAGGAAGGAAAAGAGGTCCCGAGTCTCAGAAGACCAGCAAGAGCGAATAGGAGCCAGGTCAAAGAGAAGTGGACAGGTAGGTGGCATGGGCCAGCCTCCGATGAGGCGAACGAACCATGGGACCTGTTTATCTAGAGTCTGAACAGGGGACTGAAAGAGAAGAGAGGGGAACAGGGAAGGTTTGCTCAAGCTGAGTGCTGGTAGAGTGAACACGGTCTTACCGAACAATACCTTCAGACTTTATTGATAAATTTTGCTTTGAAGTTTTCTTTCTATTTCAAAAATATGACAGTTCTTGATATGTTTCTCTTAGGGCATTTTGCTTCGTTCCTGATTGACCCCTGTTTCTCAACACCTGCCTCTCTGGTCCCCAGCTCTTCCCAAGTGGTCCTATATCTGCTTTGCACATCTTAAGATATGATTTTAAATCTAGGTTCCAAATACAGGAAATGATTCTGGCTGTGTCTGACTTATCTTGTCCTTCTCTCCAAGGCTTGTGCCCGTCCCCTCATATCGGTGTACTCTGAAAAGGGGGAGTCATCTGGCAAGAATGTCACTTTGCCAGCTGTCTTCAAAGCTCCCATTCGACCGGATATTGTGAACTTTGTTCACACCAACTTGAGGAAAAACAACAGGCAGCCCTATGCCGTCAGTGAATTAGCAGGTATGGGTTTACATTTGTCGTGGGCAGGGCTCCTTTGCAGTGGGTGATGAAATGCCATTGGTCCGTGTTTCTGAACCCTGTGATTTTCCATGGCTATTCTGATACTGCCTTTGCCCTTCATAAAGGAAGTCGTGGGTTGTTATGGCTTAGTGCTTAAAACTTATTTCTTCTCAATTTTAGGTCATCAGACCAGTGCTGAGTCTTGGGGTACTGGCAGAGCTGTGGCTCGAATTCCCAGAGTTCGAGGTGGTGGTACCCACCGTTCTGGCCAGGGTGCCTTTGGAAATGTATCCTATTTTTCTATTGACATTTGTTGCAATTAACTGGTTGGACTGAGACTTGATTCATTAATATTTAATACTATTTTGAATCATGTCTAAAACTACTAGTGTTCCCAATAAGCAGATCCTCTAGACAAACATCTAGAGATGTTTCTGGGGTGTACTTGCTATGATGTCGTAATTTGCGTCTTACTCTGTTCATGGCGACAGTTGCCTGCTGTCAGTAAGCTGGTTCAGAAGGTTGACGAAAGTTGTTACTGAGCAAGTCATAACCTTACTAATTCTTCAGACCTGAAAAAAATAGTTCAATTCTTGACAAAGAAAACAGATGTGTCGGGGAGGCCGTATGTTTGCACCAACCAAAACCTGGCGTCGTTGGCACCGCCGAGTGAACACAACCCAAAAGCGATACGCCATCTGTTCTGCGCTGGCTGCCTCAGCCTTACCAGCTTTGGTGATGTCTAAAGGTCTGTGATGCTTTGATACATTATGTTTAACTTACTGTTCACTGAAACCTGTTGGGTGTGAATTCTTTTCCTCTCAGTGCCTACTAAAAGCAGTTCTGCTTGCTTCAATCTAGCGAGCCCTTGGTTGTAGTTCGCATCAAATCCTACCATGTTTTTGTCTGTCAGAATGATGAAACTATTTAATTGGTCCGTGTTTCTGAAACACATGATATTAGTGGAAATTTCTGACTTGACAGCGAATGTTGTTTGTTTGGGGTGTGTGTAATGAGTTGAGACTTAACTAATAAGTATTGACTTGGTTTTGTAAGGTCATCGTATTGAGGAAGTTCCTGAGCTCCCTTTGGTAGTTGAAGATAAGGTTGAAGGTTACAAGAAGACCAAGGAGGCTGTTCAGCTGCTTAAGAAACTTAAGGCTTGGAATGACATCAAAAAGGTAGGTTCAGTGTGCATGTTTACCATTTGATACCGTCAGGTTTTGGTTAAAAGGATACCTCACCTTTAGGGTGGGTGGTGGTCAGCTTTTAGTTAAGATTGGATATGAATCATAGAAGTCTGAAAGCTCCACAGATGGGGTAGTTTTAACAAAGTTATCTTTAGGTAACATGTTTCTAGTACAATGTTGATTTGATTTGTGATATTTATCACATTTATCACTTGTGTATGTGTGAGAGGACAACATGGAGTTATTTCTGTTATTTTCTTACGGAAAGGACTTGATACAGTGCAGTTTTACTTGCAATGATGTTGTAATTTGCGTCCTACTCTGTTTTCAGTGACAGTTGCCTGCTGTCAGTAAGCTGATTCAGAAGGTTGACGAAAATTGTTACTGAGCAAGTCATTTTCTTTAGTGACTGGTGTGAAATACAAAGAATCCCAGGGATCAAACGTTATCAGGCTTGGCTGAAAGTGCCATTACTTGCTTGAGACATCTATACCTCTCTTGCCTGTTTTTTTGTTCTTGTTTTTTAATTGAAGATATGCTGGAAAGGTTATACCTTAGACTAACTGCTAAAGCTACTCTTATAGGTCTATGCCTCTCAGAGAATGAGAGCTGGCAAAGGAAAAATGAGAAACCGACGACGTATCCAGCGCAGGGGGCCCTGCATCATCTATAATGAAGATAATGGTATCATCAAAGCCTTCAGAAACATCCCTGGTAAATTCTTGTAACATTCAGTGTTTTAATTGCCTCTTCTGTACATACTCACTCATCTTCGGTTATGATGAAATTCCACTTCATGGTCCGTGTTTCTGAAATAACATGATTTTGTGGAAGTTCTGATTTCTAGATGAGTGAGTTCCACGATGACTTGAACTTCAGAGTTCATTAATCTTTTTAAGTGCCTTGTTTAGCTCAATAAGCCATAAAAAATGTATTTCCTCTGTTGATTGAATGTAGGGTCTCTGATTCTTCCTTGCCTTTAAAGGTATTACTCTGCTTAATGTCAGCAAGCTGAACATTTTGAAACTTGCTCCTGGTGGGCATGTGGGGCGTTTCTGCATCTGGACTGAAAGTGCTTTCCGCAAGTTGGATGAGTTGTATGGCACTTGGCGTAAGGCTGCTACCCTCAAGAGTAACTATAAGTGAGTTTCCAATGTTTCTTTATTACATATGGATTCCTAAAGTGTGCATTTATGTTCATACTGAATTTATATTCTTAAATTAAGCATTGAATTATTACATTCAATGGGAGGGTAAATGCTGTGTTCCTAATCCGTGATTATAAAAGTTATAAGGTAAAAAATTTAGTAGCTGGACAGCAAAGACGATTTGAAATACAGTTCTATGATTTATGTTCAGTTAGAAGAATTTTGGCTTCCTGTCTTTTTCCAGCCTTCCCATGCACAAGATGATGAACACAGACCTTAGCAGAATCTTGAAAAGTCCAGAGATCCAAAGAGCCCTCCGAGCACCACGGTAAAGTTTTGATACTTAACTCATGCTACAGTCTGATACTTGGACTTTTAAAGGCATACATGTTGATTGATGAGTGCCACGTCTTTACAGCAAGAAGATTCAGCGTAGAGTCTTGAAGAAGAATCCACTGAAGAACCTGAGAATTATGTTGAAGCTCAACCCATATGCAAAGACTATGCGCAGGAATACTATTCTTCGCCAGGCCAGAAATGTGAGCCATAATTTGCTGTGTCAAGTGTTATCAATCTTGCTTTAGAAGTTTTGGTACTTCCCCCTTTCCTGGGTCTCTACCTCTGGCTCTACTGGAACTGACAGATTGGCCTGCTTTTTCTGCCTTTCAGGTGCTGGGATTCAAACATCTCAGTTAAAGATTTGATTTCCTAATTTCCTATTTGTTGTTGTTGCAGCACAAACTCCGGGTGAAGAAACTGGAGGCAGCAGCAGCAGCACTGGCTGCCAAATCAGAGAAGGGGACTGCAGACAAGAAACCTGCAGAAAGTAAGAAAGAAAAGAAGCCTGTGGATGTCAAGAAGCAGAAGAAGCCTGCAGGAAAAAAGGCTGCAGCTACCAAGAAACCAGCAGCTGAGAAAAAGCCAGTAGAGAAGAAACCAACTAAAGAAGAGAAAAAGTCTCCTGCTTAATCTATTAAAATTACTTTCATTCCATTGAGCAAATAGAGATAGCCTATTTGAATAAAAACCTGATCAAAGATGCAGTGAGAATCTGTGAATCTTAATTGTGGGTGCATCCAGGGCCACCTCCTCCCCCTTTGTGGAATAGGTATCATGACACTTGGAAATATGGGTTTACAAGGATTAAGCTCAGGATTGTAGAGGACATTTTTAATATCTCAATCTCCTGTTAAATTTGTAAATTGTTCCACATTATAATCTGATGTGAAGTCCATTCTATTAGCATCTTGGAGGACTTGTCTGAGGAGCTTGTGGGTTATTAAATCAGGAAGTGGGTGGTTCGTGAAGGGTCAACAATTAGTAACCACCAGAGGGCATGATGGTACAAGGAAATATCGGCCTCGATAGATAAGCGATATGGTTCCTTAGGAGCTAAGTACTTTAGCCCTAACCAAGAGTGGCGTGTTAACTCTGATCTAAATATCATCATACAACTGGCTTAATTTGCTGTATACTTAATAGTATTAGCTCAAAAGTAATAGCAGACAGTAAATTCAGGTAAAAGGATTTTTAATTATAACTGGTTAGCTTTTATTCGGGAAATGAGAGCGCCTTAAGATTAAGAGGCTTTGCCGGGCGGTGGCGGCGCACGCCTTTAATCCCAGCACTCCGGAGGTGGAGGCAGGCGGATCTCTTGAGTTCGAGGCCAGCCTGGTCTACAAGAGCTAGTTCCAGGACAGGAACCCAAAGCTACGGAGAAACCCTGTCTCGAAAATTTAAAAAAAAAAAATTAAGAGGCTTATGTCACGCTAAATATTTGAGCTAGAAATTGCTATTTTGCTTTCTACCTGCAAATGTCTCCAACCTTTGTGGAGAAAAGCCATTTGGAGCAAACTGCACTTTAAAAGTGTTCTGGTGAGGCGCACAACCTGGTACTCAGGAGGCAGGCAATCTCGTGAGTTCAAAGCCAATCTGGGCCACAAAGAATACCAGGACTGCCTCCAAAGATAACAGAAACACTGTTTTAAAAAAAAAAAATGCTCCGGTGAGAACTGATTTCTTGAAGCCTGTGAAACGAGTTTACCTATTTCTACTTTAAGTAATCAGCAATGGGATTGAATAACTAACTCACTGGCGTTCCATTACCCTGTGCTTTGAGAGTCGTCGGTACCGGAATCAGTAAATTGCTTAAACCGGCGACCCGTGACTGCTTCCAGGAATCGGAAGTGACGTCATCACTGGGCGCCCGGCAAAAGACATTGACCTAACGAGGGGAGAAAGAGGATGCTAAGCCGGCTGCAGGAACTCCGCAAGGAGGAGGAAACGCTGCTTCGTCTGAAGGCGGCCTTGCACGACCAACTGAACCGCCTCAAGGTGAGCTAGCCACCCTCCAAGCCCAGGCCCTCGCGCGTGACCGTCGCCTGCATTAGAGCTCCGGGCAGCTTGCTCCGCACCGTTCCGGTCCTCTAAGTGTTCCGCGGGCTTAGCCCCCTAAGCCCACCTCTGGCCCGCCGGATCACGCCTCACCTGCTGGTTACTAGTGTTTATATGCACTGGAAAGGGCTTTAGTGTTGCAAAACTAGAAGGGAATTTAGATGCTCCTGGGGTCTGAATGAGGTCTGGGAGAGAAACTTGTCCTCTAGAGTTCTCAGTAACTTTTAGGGAGCAGTTACTGACTGGAAGAACGCAGGTTTACATCTGCCTTGTTCACTCCCTAGACCTCGGGGTAATTTGGTCCCTGTGAAATGATAGTGGAAATACCAGCTCCTCAGTCGTATGCAAGTGACATGAGGGTTACAGAAGGCCTCTACAAACTGAACTTGTATACCTGTGGTATAGAAAATGACAAGCAGTGTTCCTCTGGGCAGTTAGAAGTGGCGCACACTTATTGCTACAGTACCCCTACAGGCACCTAGTGATTGTGTGGTGACGATGACTTCCCAAACGCAGGTACCCTGATGCTTCAGTAAACAGGCGGTTTCTGATCTCCTGCCGTCATTTTCTCGTTAGTGAGTAGACAATCTCAGTCTTAGGACATACATTTGTGTCTGTGGAGCCAGCTGACCACTCACTTGCATTGCGTGTGTGTGTCAGAGAAAGACACAGAGAGAAGTGTGTGTGTCAGAGAGAGAGATAGCTTCGCTGGTCTTGAACTTCCTATGTAACCCAGGTTGGCCTCAAACTTGTGATCCTTTTACCTCGGTGCCAGGATTACAGGAGCGCAGTTGCACGACCAGCTACACCTGATGTCATATATATTCTTCTATATGTTTTTTTGTGTCTGAATATATATCTTTTGTTTTTTTAAATTTTATATCTATTGGTGTATGTAATTTTGTATCTATTGCATGTATGTCTGAGCAGCACTTTCATGCCTAGTGTCTGGGGAAGGTAAAAGGGCATGTTAGATTGCCTGGAACTGGAGTTACAGATACTTGCGAGCCACCATATGGGTGCTGGGAATAGAGCCCCGACTCTCTGGGAGATCTAGTTGCAGTGGTTACACTGGTTCTAGCTTTCTGGAAGTGCTCTTAACCATTGATTCATCTCTCCGGCCCCTACACCTGGCCTTTTAGTGGTGCACCTGCATTTCCTTACTGAGCTGCTTGGTCTTGGGGTGTGGAAGCCTGCAGTTTAGCTAAACACCAATAAAGTTCTTCTCTTTAAAAAACAGGTAAGCAGGGGCTGGAGAGATGGCTCAGTGGTTAAGAGCACTGACTGCTTTTCCAGAGGACCTGGGTTCAATTCCCAGCACCCAAATGGCAACTCAACTGTCTGTAACTCTAAGATCTGACACCCTCACTCAGGCAAAACACCAATGTACATAAAATAAGTATAAATAATTTTTAAAAAAAAAAAAAACAGGTAAGTAGAAGGAGGTGCACCTCTATAAGCACAGGACTAGCCTGGTTTACAGAGTGAGTTCTAGGACAGCCAAGGCTACACAGAAAAACCCTGTCTGAAAAAAACAGGTAAGACTGTATAGGGAACTTAAAAGTTGGCTCTACACACTCAAGACCAAGTTTTCAGCATAAAGGAGATTTTTTTTTTTTTTTTAACCCCCAGAGGACAGAGGTCAGGGAATAAGAGACAAAGGCAGGAGATAGACGGTGAGGACCAAAAGAAGGGTAACAAGGGAAAGGGACAAGGGTATTTGTCCCAGAGGACAGTGGGCTGCTTCTGAACAGAGAAGAGACAGACATGGCCCATAGGAAAATGGCAGTTTATGAAGGGAAAAGGGAAAACCTCGTGTTAAGGAGAGGTACTTAATTTTAATTAGGCATATTAATTAGATGAGCCAAAGGGACTGGACCTTAGTATTCAGCCTCAGGAGGAGAGATTGGCTTCAGGATGTAATCTCATGGTTTTTAGTAAGGCAAAAGGAATGGGGAGAAGGGCAAGGCCTGCCAAAGCCACAAACTCAGCTAGTATCCTTTCAGGCCTGGTGTAGTGGCCCACGCTTTTACTACCAGCACTTGGGAGGCAGAGGCAGGTGGACTTCTGTGAATTCAAGGCCAGCCTGGTCTACATACCAAGTTATGGGGCAGCCAGGACTACATAGTGATACCCTGTTTCAGTGGGGAGTGGAGAGCAGCTAAAGCCTAAGAATTTCCTCTGCCCTTCAGGAGCAGGCCTGGGATTAGAAGCAGCTCCCTTTTGTGATGCCAACCTTCACAGCTTCTAGGAATTCACTCACTTTAGTAACCCAGCAGAACGCTCAGTACATGTCCCCAACTCTCCTTCCCTAGGTTGAAGAAATGGCCCTCCAATCCATGATAAGTTCTCGCAGAGGGACTGAAACGCTGTCTACTCGGCCTGCGCCTGAACAGTGTGATGTAAGTTTGGTGGAGTACAGGCTTCCAGACAGTGTGGAGTCCCATTGTTCCCTTGCTGCATAGCTGCATGAATGCTGTATAGCACATTACCAAGTCCAAAGGACTCTGGGACATGCCAATTAAATATTTGGGGCATGAAGGAATTTACTGTGATTGAACCAGGGGCCTCATACATGGTGATCAAGTACCCTACCAGCGAGCCATATCTTCAGCCCCTCATAATTTGTAGTTCAATAAATAACTAATATACATTAATCTTTCAGGTAATAAGTAGCCTGTATTTTATACTTTGTCAGATTTAAGCAGCCTCTCCCTACTCTCATAATGTGCACCACTATGCCTGGCCTTCCCAGTTACTCAGGGTACTCCATTATTCCTAGTTATTCAAGAGAACCACAAGAAACTGGTAGTGGTAGAGGTCACGGTGAGTTTTGTTTTAAACAGTGTCTTACATACCCAGACTGGCCGCCTTCTGATCTTCTTCCCTGTTTGTGATTACAGGCATGTGCCCCCGCATCCTGTTCAGAAATTTGGCTCTTCTAGGACTAGTTTAGGAATGTGTCATAGTTGCTGCTCTGTGTGGGTGGCTTCAAGCACAAATCAGGGGCTAAAGGACGAGTAGCAGGTGTTACCCTACCCACTCTTACGAAGTGCCTTCAAAAAGCCAGTACAAGCTGGGCAGTGGTGGCATACTTTAATCCTAGTATTCAGGAGGCAGAGGCAGGTAGATCTCTGTGAGTTCGAGGCCAGCCTGGTCTATAAGAGCTAATTCCAGGACAGGCACCAAAACTACAGAGAAACCCTGTCTTGAAAAAACAAAAAACAAAAGCAAAAACCAACAACAGTAAGAGCTAATACAGTCATATTCTTTCTAAATATATCATATTTTGGAAATTCTGTAATAAACCGTGTAGTCTACACAATTATTTTTGCTGATGGTTTCTAATAGAATTCTGAAGGTCAGTCGACATTTTAAAAATACGAAGCAATTCTTCTTACCCTTTTCAATAACTGGAGAAGCCAGAAACAGGAAAGTGATCTTTCCTCTCAGTCATAAAAATGTGATGAGGGAAAAAAAATAAAGGATTTCTTTGTGTAGCCCTGGCTGTCCTGAAATTTGTAGACCAGGCTGGCCTCGAATTCAGGCATCCGCCTGCCTCTGCCTCCCTAGTGCTGGGATTAAAGGCATGCACAACCTCCACCCACACGTAACAAGTACTCTAATTGCTGTCATCTCTCCAACCCCACAAATGAGATTTGATTCTAAAGAATGTGCTGTTTTGAGGTTCAGCTCCTTCCTAGTAATGCCAGTGTTCTCGTTTTACTCAGATGTCGGTGCATGTCGACAATGAAGCATCAATCAATCAAACCACACTGAAGCTGAGTACAAGGACCCCTATGGAGGAAGAGGAGGAGGAGGAGGAGGAGGAAGAGGAAGAATCTGATTCGTAAGGGGGACAAGAGCTTGGGTTAGTTTTACAAACTGAATTTCTAAGTCACAGGCACTTGCCTTGGGTACCGGTGCTATGTAAAAAAGTATACACTGTGGACAGGAGAGGCTCAATTGGTAAAGTATCTACCATATAAATATGAAAACATGAGTTTGGATCTCCAAATCTATGTAATAAGCTGGGCAAAGTGTTACATGCTTGTAACCTCAACACTGAGGAGAGGGAGCCTGAAGCTGTCTGGCCGGCCAGTGAGCTTCGGGTTCACCAAGAGACCCTGTCTGAAAAAGAGAAAAACCAGTGATGTTGGGCATGGAGGTGTACACCTTTACTCCCAGAACTCGCTGGAAGGGTTTAGAATAATGCTAGTGTACAGCAAGCTACAAAAATGTTTTTTTCTTGCTCTAATATATGAAACAACTCAAGGTCAACTTCACCACTGGACAACTGGGAAAAAGTGGATAATACCTGGTCATTATCTAAAAGATGTTTAGTAGAAAATAAGGATTTTTAGCGAGTTTTGGCATATACACTCCTGTAATCCCAGGCTTTGAGATTCTCTAGCAGAAGTGATTACCCACTGTGAGGCCAGTCTGGAATGTAATGAAAACAAAATACAATGCAAGGTAAACACAGTGCATGGGTTGATCTCTAGATCATTATGCTATGAGAAATAAACAGTCATTCTAGCCCTCCTTTTTTCTGAAAAAGGCAAACACTATACAAATTGAAATAATTTCAGTCATTACTAGGGGTAGGGTAGTCCTGTAGGAGGTGACTGAGGGAGGCGGGGCAGGATGTCAGGACACTGTGATGGTCTACATAACAAGTCCCAGGACAGCCAGGACTATATAGAGACCCTGTCTCAAAAAATATATATATAAAATAGAGGGAAAATGCTGGGCGGTGGTGGTGCACTCCTTTAATCCCAGCACTCAAGAGGCAGAGTCTGGTCTATAGAGCAAGTTCCAGGATGACCAGGGCTACACAGAGAAATCCTCTCTCTCCCTTTTTTTCCTTTTAAAAAAAAAAAAAGAGTGAAAAAATGCCAACAACCTCTGGCCACAGCACACACGTACACCTCCCCAGTACACACCAAACAAACCATACACAGGCCTATACTAACAGCTACTTATACAACACAATACACACACTGGTTTTTATGTAAGATACTCTCCTATAGAAGAAATCAAGGACTAGTGATGAAATGGCCTATAGGATACCTGATGTTTTAGGTCAGCTTGTATTTCCTTTTTGTGTGCTCTTGTGTGTGTGGACATGTGTACCATAGTGTGTATATGGAGGTCATAGGACAGCTTATGGAAGTCAGTTCTTCCACTATGTGAGCCTTAAGGATTGAACTTGGGTTGCCTGCCAGGCTCAATATAAGCACTGCTACCTTATCCACTGAACCATGTCACCTGCACTTTTTTTTTAAGGTTTATCTGCTTGTGCTTGTGTGTGTACATATGTAAGTACATGTGGGTACAAAATTCGATCCCTCAGAGCAGGAGGTGCATGTCTGTGGGATGCCCAGCTTCTAATGTGGGTGCTGGTATCTAAACTGTACCTCACAATTGCATAGTGGTACGTTTTTTATGTGCATTGGTGTGAAGGGTGTCGGATCCCTGGAACTGGAGTTACACATAGTCGTGAGCTGCCATGTGGGGGCTGGGAATTGAACCTAGTCCTCTGGAAAACTGCCAATGCTCTTGACCATTGAGCCGTCTCTCCAGCCCCACACAGACCTCCCCCCCACTTTTTTTTTTTTTTTCTGAGACGGGGTTTCTCTGTAGCTTTGGAGCCTGTCCTGGAATTGTCTCTGTAGACCAGGCTGGCCTGGAACTCACAAAGATCCACCTGCCTCTGCCTCCTGAGATTAAAGGCATGCGCCACCACCACCTCCACCGCTGGGCTCAGACCCCATCTTTTTTTCTGACTTTACAGCTACCTCATAGGCATGACAAAGCCAGCACTGGGGAGGACCCCTCCCCCCCAGAAGGTATAGTGAAAGGAAACCATTTCCCAGTATAGCACAGCAGACTGACTAGACCTTACTGAAGGCTCTCACACCAGCAAGGACTTCCTGTGGGTATGGCTACTGGCAGGCAGGACTTGCTACAAAAAATAAGGAATGTTCTGTGAGAAGTAACTTGATTTTGCCCAGACAAGTTCCCAGCCCCACTGTGCTGGCTAGGATTTTGTCAGCTGACACAAGATACAGTCATCTGAGAGGAGCAAACCTCAATTGATAAAATGCGTCGATAAGACTGAGCTTTAGGCAAGCCTGTGGAGTATTTTATTAGTGGTTGATGTGGGATGGCTCAGCCTCTGGGCTGTGGTCCTGAGTGCTGTAATTCAGAAAGCTGAACAAGCCGGTAAGCAGCATTCGTCCATTCCTCTAAATCAGCTTCCAGGTTCCCAAGTTTACTTCAGTGGACTGTGATTGAGGATATGTAAGCCAAGTCAACCCTTCCCTCCCCAAACTGCTTCTGGTCAGTGTTTTGTCACAGCAGTAGAAACCCTAGGACACACACCTGTAGCTTTCTCCTTATGTAAAGCGACTCCTTGTTCACAGGCCCTGGGCGGGTGGTAGTCAGCGCTAGAGTTCTGCAGGAGACCCAATGCCTCCAATGCCTACTGCACAGAGCTGGCAGTGTGTGCACTGGCTACTATGTTGTGGTTTGGTTTTGTTTTGTTTGTTTTTTGGCTTTTTGAAACAGGATTTTTTTTTTTCTGTAGCTTTAGAGCCTGTTCTAGAACTTGCTCTATAGACCAGGCTGGCCTTGAACTCATGGAGATCCACTTGTCTCTGGCTCCTGGAATTAAAGGTGTGTGCCACCACCACCGCCCTCTCTTTTCTTTTTCTGAGACGAGGTCTCTCTGTATTCCCCTGGCTGTCTTGGAACTCAAGACCAAGCCAGCCTCAAACTCAGAGATTCATCCGTGTGGGAATTAAATTCATCTATATTGGAATTAAAGACACTTATGGTACCACACCCTGAGTATTGACTAGTTTTTACATAAACTCAAAACAATCTAGAATCATTTTGTAAGTGGGAACATGCATTGAGAAATTGCCTCCAACAGACTGTCCTGTGGGCAGCTTGTGGTAAATTTTATTGAATGTTGACTGGTGTGGGAGGGCCCAGCTCACTGTGGGCTGTGTTACCCCTGGGCTGGTGTTCCTGGGTGCTATAAGAAAGGCTCAGCAAACACAAAGAGCAAAGCCAGTAAGCAGGGTTCCCATGGCCTCTGCTTCAGTTTCTGCCATGAGTTCCCTGGATGGTGGACTGACTACAGGCTGTGAACTGAAGTAAACCCCTTCCTCCCCAGGCTCCTTTGGTCAGGATGTTCACACCATCAACAGAGACACTCTTATGCAGTATTTATGACTTCCAACTGTGTTCCTGTCTTCACTTTCCCTACTTCAGTGCATGGCCAATCACTTCATTTCCTATAGTCTAGAGAAACCGAAAGGCCTGCCACAAAAGCAGAAATATCTTTTGTCCTTTTTATTTTAACTTGATAGTATTTTTATTAGAATAAGAGTTTAGATTTGATAAACATCTGGATTAAAATGGCTAAAAGGATTTTCATACAATTTGTAGGCACTATACACGTTTACAATAGCATTGGTGCTGGGATTGGAGAAAAGATAGAACTCTGACACATACTGATGCCGTAATCCATTTATGACGTTCAAAATAACCATCTATTTAGAAACACTAATCCAAACTTAAGAGACGTATACCACACTAAGTACCCCACACAGTGTATTTAAAAATAAATATAGAAATACAACCAGAAGTCTTAAAATCGCCACTGTAGACAGACTGAAGCCCCAGCTATCATGGCAGTGATGGGCTCTGGGTAGATTTTTGGTTTTTTTTGTTGTTTTTTTTTTCCTTTTTTTGACGGGAATTGCTAAATTCTATACCAAAAGCAAAAAATAAAAATAACATGATGTACACAATCTGATGCTCATTTCATTAGCAGCAAAGCATGCTTCCCATGCACTGCCTGTGAAGGTCTCATGAGCTCCCTCTCCTCAGACTGAGAGGTCACCAGCAAGAGTGAAGTACCAAGGGGCCGAGAATCCTGACAATCCAGGCAGCCAGTGAGTCACAGAACACGAACAGCAGTGCAAACATCAGTAAGAATGACCACCCAGGTCACCAGGGTTTCACTATAGTTCAGCCTGGTATGAGTTTGATCAACATACAAATAGCCCCAAGCACAAAGCCAATCCACTTAGGGGAGTAACCATAGTGATAAAGACAATGATATTAAAAATGACACAAGTACAATTTGGCACATGCTGTGTTCTTCATCCTTTGTCACAGATGAGGTGCACGTCTGAACAGAGACAAGCATGGGAGAGGCCTGAAAGCAACATGGCATGCCGCTGGGCAGAGGAGTTCCTCTTTGCTGCTTCCCAAAGGCTCAGATGCTAGCGGCGTGGGTTGGTGTGCTGGGCTGGTTAAGCCCAATGGTAGAGCAGAGCCACCCTGCGAAGTCCACCTCCTCAGCATCAGATCTCTTGATGAAAGCATGAACCTGGGTGCAGAAAACAGAGAAAGGAAATGCTGTTAAACTACCAGGAGGAAAAAGCAAGAGTCTCAGCCTAGTCGGACCACTTGGAAGATGCTTCTAGTGTTCACCCTTGCACAGCAAGTAGGCCAGCTGCAGCCCAAAGATCCTCTGCCATGACCATGCATATAAGTTGTGCGGCCCTTGTCTCTGAGCAACCCTTACTTGTTAGAAGGTACACTACACTCAAGGCTACATCAGGCATGGAGCAGGGACCTTAAAATACCACATCCCTGTGCCAATGTTGTCAAACAAGAATTAGATGAAGCAACCCAGAATGCTGGAAATGTGAGATGAACCAGTCAGAACTAGAAAAAAAAAAAGGCCTGTCCTCAGGAAGGTTGTGGGCTGGCCCCTCCCTGACTCGCATCCCAGGTCCCCCCTGTAACTCACATCTGGCACTGTGCAGCCCCAACCCTGACTAAAGAATGAGGGCTGGGGCAAGACAGACAAATGGTCAAGTGAGATGAATAAACAGGCTCTGAGACTCACCATGAGCTGCTTCAGGTCTGCTCTCTCTGCAGGGTTCTTTATCAAGCTGAAAAGAATGAAGATTAATGTAAGAACACTGGTTTCCAGTCACTGCCCCTTACATGAAGGCTGAGGAACTAGGGGCCTGAGCCTGGCTCTTCCTCCATTCTAGGCACACCATCATGCCTGAGCACATAAAGGAAGTCTTGCTTAAATCAAGGTCAGGAAGCAACAGGATGATCCCTGCAGTTCAAGTAAGAGTAACACGTGCCAGTGCTACAAGGAGTATAACAGCAATCAGGGTTAGAGGACAGGGAAAGGGTAAGGCCAGGGTCTCGGGAATGTAGTGCAAACTTACCATTTATTCACAAAATCTTGGAATTCCAGACTGAATACTCCACTGGGCAATTTTGGAGGAGGCTGCAAACATATCACCACGTGAGACTCTTGACCCCTGCTCCAGTCACCTCCCCACCATGCCTCTGGCCACTGCTACCCTCATCAGTTCCAGGAAAGTGGCCTTAAGAAGTCCTGTTCGTCCTGGTTCACCTTGTTGGGACCACTTCAAGTATTCTACCACTCTGGTGACTGAACAAACAATGTTTCCCTCAGCTTGTTCAGTCTCCTATGAAATAAGGCTGTGCTATTAGCTCTAGAACCCTCTGAGTTTAGACACTCAGGTGCAGAGTAAGAATAGTGTAAGAGTGTGACTGGCCTGGAAGGGTCAGCAGTAGCTACCAATAGCAGAAGCCTCAGGAATGCACAAACCAGGAAGCACCACTTAAGCCTGACAGTACTCCCAGAAACCACAAAACAAAACCGTTTTCTGAGCCCTGAATAGTCACAGAAAGTTAACACATTAACTGGCAAGGCTGAGTATGGATGATACTGCCCACACACTGTAGCAGTGTGGCATCTCCCAGGTCCCTGACACAGATCCTGACAGTAGCTTGAGGAAATCTGCATTTTACATGACCCGTGCCAGCAATGTAGCTTTCCTGGGAGGAGCAGTACTTGAGATAGACCTAAGATGTCCCTGCTCTAATGAGACATCAGCTAAAGCATTCAGAAGGCAGAAGTAGGTAGATCTCTTGAGTTCTAGGCCAGCCTGGTCTACATAGTGTATTCAAGTCAGAGATATATAGTGAGACCCTGTTTTAAAAAACAAAGAGGGAGGGCTGGAGAGATGGCTCAGTGGTTAAGAGCACTGACTGCTCTTCCAGAGGTCCTGAGTTCAATTCCCAGCAACCACATGGTGGCTCACAGCCATCTACAGTGAGACCTGGCACCCCCTTCTGGCTTGTGGGCACACATGGAAGGAATGCTGTACACATAATAAATAAATAAATATTTAAAAAAAAAACAGGGAGGAAGGAAGGAAGGAAGAAAGAAAGAAAGAAAGAAAGAAAAACACTAATTGGGTGGTACCTGCTTGCAGTCCTATCATTTTGGAAGGCTGAGATTTGAGACTAGTCCAGGCTACATGATGAGAACTTACCTAAAACAAACCACCAACCCTGGTTCTGTACACGTGGCTCAGTTCAGTGGTAGAGAGCTTGCATAGCATGTATGAGGCAGGTTTGATCCTCAGCATTACAAAAACAAAATACAAGTACCCTACTAAAAAGCCCAACAAACCCTTACACCCTGAGGGCCTTGTCAATTTGAAGTTAGCTCCCATCCAGATTGTAGAACATTGGCCCTGAGCAAGCTTCTCCCAGTAATTGTCCCTGCTGCTGAGGTGGTGAGGAATATTCAAGAGAAAACAACTGGTCTCCAGAGGCCAATGCCTGCTCCTCCTAAGAAAGGGCAGACAAGGAAGGGCTGAGTGCAAACAAAGACACTTGGGGTCAGGGAATGGAAAGAGGTAGGTGACAGAAAGCACTGGGGAAAGTGTAGCTACTGCCCATCCTGGAGCCCCAGTTTCCTTCCCTATATGAAGAGGGCAAAGGCAGTTTGGCCCCCTCAGCTGGCTTGAAGAACAGAGTGAGGAAAGCAGTGTACAGAGCTGCACAGGTGGTCCAGGCAGCCTCCCTAACAGGCCGCCCACCTACAGCCATGTAGGCTTCAATAGGCAGAGGACAGATGGCCCACCCTGCACTGTTCTGCCTTGCCCCATGCTGCTTGGCACACTGCTCTGCACACATTAGAGAAGTAAACTAGATTTCCTGGTGAGCAGGAAAACATAAATGCAGGTTATTTCCTGTAGAGTTTGTGACAGTGGACCTTTTGTGCCTTTAAGGGTCTGTTTTCAGAGAAGGACACAAGATATCCTATGATTTCTTGAGGCAGTCAAAGAAAGGTGACAACTGTATCTGAGCCCAGTTCTGCCTGTGAAAGGTAACAGCACTCATCCCTTCTCATCAACTGCCAAGGCTGCTCCTCTGCAAGACAGTGCTGGTCCACCGGGCTTCCTCACATCCATGTGCTGCCCCAGGCTACGCTGGAGCAAACCTTGGAGCAAGTCTCCTCCATCATTTCACAAAGGTATGACTCTTTATATTAAAGTCAACTAAGAGTAATAATAAGAGTTTGATTTTTTAAAAATATTTATTTATTTATTATGTATACGATATTCTGTCTGCGTGTATGCTTGCAGGCCAGAACAGGGCACCAGACCTCATTGCAGATGGTTGTGAGCCACCATGTGGTTGCTGGGAATTGAACTCAGGACCTTTGGAAGAACAGGCAATGCTCTTAACCGCTGAGCCATCTCTCCAGCCCAACAGTTTGATTTTTAATCGCCTTTTTAGTAGGCACATTAAAAACTATTTTTCTCTAAACTTTTTTCTCTTCTTTTAGAGAGAGTGTCTCATTCTATAGTGCAGGCTAGCCCAGAAGTCATGATATTCTCCCTTGGCCTCCCATGTGCTAGGATTACAGGACTGAGCCACTTCAACCCACAGAATTGATAATGGATGTTCCACATCTTTCTATAGTCACAGCATTTTTAAAAAATTATACTTGCCAGAAGAGGGTGCCAGATCTCATTACAGATGGTTGTGAGCCACCATGTGGTTGCTGGAAATTGAACTCAGGACCTCTAGAAGAGCAGACAGTGCTCTTAACCTCTGAGCCATCTCTCCAGCCCTAGACACAGCTTTTTAAACAGCACTTTATAAGAAGCAGCTGGATGGTGGTGGTGCACGTCTTTAATCCCAGCACTCAGAAGGCAGAAGCGGGTGGATGGCTGAGAACTGAAGGCCAGCCTGATCTACAGAGCCAGTTCTAGGACAGCCAAGAAATATATACAGAGGTTACAGGCATGCTGACCAAGTCAGCCATGGTTTTCTCTTCCACCTACACTTCTGAGACAGGGATCTTACTATGTAGTCCAGTTCTGCCCCGGGCTTAAAACTCTCCTGTCTCAATCAGAGTACTGGGATCACAGGTATATACCAACACACTTATAACTGCTATTTTATTTTTTTCCCTTTCCAAGTTTTTGTTTTTGAATTTTATGTGTGTATTTTGTCCATATGTATGTCTGTGTATTACATGCATGCAGTATCCACAAAGGAGGGTGTCAGATCCCTTTGGAACTAGGGTTACAGATGGTTATGAGCTGTCATGTGAGTGCTGGGAATTAAACACAGATCCTCTGCAAGAACAACCACTGTGCTTACCAAGCCATCTCGCCAGCTCATAACTTTTTTTTTTAAAGCTTTATGTATAAGTGCTCTAGCTCTATGTACAACTTTATGCCAGAAGAGGGCATCAGATCCCAGGATAGATGGTTGTGAGCCACCACGTGGTTCCTGGGAATTGAACTTACGACCTCTGGAAGAACAACCAGTACTCTTAACTACTAAACCATCTCTCCAGCCCTCATAACTACTTTCCTAAGTAGAATAACTTACGTTAAGGAAACCTGGCAGCACTTACCTCATTGACTATATAATCCAACAACTCAAAAATTGCCATGGGAGGTCGGCTATCCATTCCATATGCTGCAGATTTATAAAGAAGAAGTTAAAAAATGCAGATATAAACAAGAAGCTACTTGCCAATATGAGTCAAGGGGTTGAGCACAGATCATTAATAAAAAGCCACTTTAGTCAAGGCCTAAACATGGAGAGAATCCAGAAGGCTAGGCTATGAGTCTGTGCTCAGTAACATCCTAGATGTGTGACCTCAGGCAAATCAGTTGACCAACGAGTCAAAGAATAGATCTTTGGAATGGAAATCAAGTGACAATTCATCTTCCCATCCTTACATTTATAGAGCAGCCAATGGCATAACAAGTAAATAAGTGCAGGGCTATATTTGGGCTTGGCTTATGTGCACTGTATAGGTAGAGCCCACAGCTTCACAAGTGCTAGGCAAGCTCTACCACTAAGCCATACTCTCAGGCTTAGAATTTGTTTTTAGTTCACCTGAGCATGGATTTTTTCCTTTCCTGCCCTAAGATCACAAGCAAT